CTCGTCGTCGCGACGTTTTGGCATCTCTCCTTCATTAGATAACGATAGACCGCTGTGTGCAACGAAGCTCCTTACAACGCCTCATCCAGACTCGCGCTGAGGTGACGATCACCCTCATTCCTCCAGTTCTCCTGCCTCGATTGTATCACGCACGATGGTCTTCACATCGCCGAAATGGGTCCCTCAGTTGCCCATAGGTAAGATGCACCCTCGAGCCTGGAGCCTTGTGCAATCTTCTGGGCGAGCTCTGCTCACCGAGATATCGCAGACCCTCCGGACACCATCACCATTGCTGAGTTCATGAGCAATGAAAAGTACGGTCGCTATCCTATGGCGGAAGCAAGAAACCCGTACACTTGTGGCCTATCGGGCAAGTCGTACACAGCGTCCGAGGTGAAGCAGCGAACAGACTACTTGGCCAGGGCACTCTCAAAGAAGCTCGATTTCGTGCCCAACGAGGGCACAGAGTGGGACAAGGTCGTCGCGCTCTTCTCGCTCAACACGGTATGTGACTTGATGTTCAATCCTATATGGCACTCTTTCGCAACTAGCTAAATCCTGTGCAGATTGATTACATTCCCTTCACCCATGCAATCCATCGCCTGTCAGGCATCGTCACCCCCGCCAGTGCCGCGTACTCGGCTCAAGAACTCGAGCATCAGCTGCGCTCCTCCAACGCCAAGGCTCTCTTCACCTGCATTCCCTTGTTGGAGACTGCTCTCAAGGCCGCGAAAGCTGTCAACATTCCTAACGACCGCATTTTCTTGCTGCCAGTACCCGGCGTCAGCCAGAAGACGCCCTATATCACACTCGACGACTTGATTCAGGAGGGGAAATCCCTGCCTGAATTGGAACCCTTGAAATGGGTCAAGGGACAAGGCGCACGCCAAGTTGCCTATTTGTGCTACTCGAGTGGCACTTCCGGTTTGCCTGTGAGTCAAACCCGGCCGCGATGATCGACGAAGTCGGAGGCTGACAGTTGACTATAGAAAGCCGTCATGATTTCTCATAGAAACGTCATCGCCAACGTCCTTCAATTCACAACATACGAATCCGTCCCGAGGAAAGAGTTGGGCATCAAGACACAAGCAGTCCTGGGTTTGTTGCCCTTCAGTCATATATACGGTCTGGTCGTCATTGCACACTGTGGAACATGGCGCGGTGACAGCGTCATTGTGCTGCCCAAGTTTGAGCTCAAGCAATTTTTGGAGGCTGTCCAACGCTTCAAGATCAACTGCCTTGCAGTGGTAAGCTCACGTCTCTGAAGCTGTGGACAACAAGCCCGTTCTGACTCGCACAGGTTCCGCCAATTATCATCCAAGTCATCCGCAATCCGGAGCTTTGCAAGAAGCATGATCTCACGTGCGTGCGCTTCGTCTACACTGGTGCAGCACCTCTCGGAGCAGAGACGGTGGAGGACCTGAAGAAGCAGTACCCCAAGTGGCACGTTGGTCAAGGCTACGGTAAGTTTTGATGTTTTGGAGAGTTGCCATGCGGTATGACTAAGACGCGTCAGGCATGACCGAAACCAGCACGGTCGTTTGCACGACATCCGAGATCGACATCGACGTTGGATCGTCGGGCTCCCTCGTCCCGGGTGCCCGCGGCAAGATCGTCGATCCTACGACCGGCGAGGAGATCACTGAGTACAACAAGCCTGGCGAGCTTCTCGTACAATCGCCCTCGGTGGTCCTGGGCTACCTCCACAATGAGCGCGCCAACGCCGAAACATTTGTGTGGTACGACGACGGCCGTTGGATCCGTACCGGTGACGAAGTCCTGGTGCGCAAGTCCGCCGCCGGCAACGAGCACCTCGTCATCGTTGACCGCATCAAGGAACTCATCAAGGTCAAGGGCCACCAGGTCGCGCCGGCCGAGCTCGAGGCACACATCCTCACCCATCCGGCTGTGTCCGACACGGCCGTCATCCAGGTGCCCGACGAGCGCGCCGGCGAGGTGCCCAAGGCCTATGTCGTTCGTGCCGCCGAGCACGCGTCCAGGCCCGAGGGTGAGGTCGCGGCCGACATCTGCAAGTACGTCGAGGAGCACAAGGCGCGGCACAAGTGGCTCAAGGGCGGCGTCGAGTTCGTCGATGTCATCCCCAAGAGCCCCAGCGGCAAGATCCTCCGTCGTCTCCTCCGTGACCGCGAGAAGGAAGCCAGGAGGGCTAATGGTGCTAAGCTCTGAGCGCAAGGCATGCCCATAGGGTTATTGCCAGGCTCTGGCTGGCGTGTTAAGACGGTGTATGATGGATGTGATGCTGGCATTAGAGAATCGACCTCGCGCATATGTACGTGTGCTACGAAACAGATTATATTTAGCGATTTCCATCTGTCGAATGTTGTTGCTAGGTTCTGCTGATTCGAGTGACGGGGCCCGAAACCAGTGCCGTCTGAACCCCCTGTGTTCTCGCCCAGCAATCGTCCAGCGCGGTGGGGTCGGTCGGCTTCATGCCGAAACAAGACAAGGTACTCTGGTGTTAATATCATTTTACCTTGGAAGTTTAGTTTTTGTATCCGTACCAAAAAGAGAATAGCTTAAACACGACGCGCCACACCGTTTTCCGCCCGAAGTCTGGAACAATACCTAAGTAGGTAGGCTTTGATGGCTTCAGAATCGCCCAAACTTGGGATAATCACAAACAACCCTGCGCCTGCATTCCATCGTCCATGACTCACCGAGCCCCTCCCCGGAAGAATCCCTACGAGCCTTAATGCTTAGTTGCCCTTAAGCATTTTCTTAGCCCACCAACTTGAGTCCACCATCTAAAGTCGACCCGGTGTCACGGAACCCCCAAACGGCCAAGGGGCTCGCTCACCTCAAGTCGGGAAAGAAAAAACAGAAGACAAATGACAAGTTAAAGCTTTCTCATACCTGGTTGAAGAACTTTGCTATGACGAAACAGCCCGATGCCATTTGTGGACATAATGGATTCTTCCCGACTGCCTAATCTGGATATTCAAACCGCCCCCCGCGGACCAGGGGACCTGAAGGCGACCGCCCGAGCGGGTGCTTAGCGACGCAGGAGCAGGGATATATACTTAGCGTCCGGGGTCGGTCTCAATAACCTCAAACGCCCCGGGGCTGGAAAAGACACGCCAAGTGAAACGGTCGTCAAGCCTTGCGCCCTCGCTGGCAGCGTCCGCCCAGCACCTCCAGTGACGATCCAATATTTCCACCGAGGGCCCAGTCCATGTCCGCTGCTTCCCAGCTAGAACATCTTGCTGATTACTTACTACAGAGTCTCCCCAGCCAGCTGACCAGACTTCCCCGTTTTCAACCCAAGCGAGCAACAGACGGTCAGACCCAGACTGACTTGTCCCAACTCTCTCACACAACGGAGTCCGGGCGAAACAGGGACAGCACGAGCTTATCACCTTCGTCCCTCGATTTGAGATGCTCCGCTTCGCACCCGGCCTGTATGGTTAGCCTTCTTTCCCCCACTCCCTTGTCTCCAGTCTGAAGGTGGCGGGGCGGTTGGCTATGCGTTGAGAAGCAAGACTGGCCCATCACAGAACCACCCCGTTGTCCCATTTCAGATGCGACAATACGGACCCTTGACTATGATGAGATGGGCAGATGTTCTCAAGCAGCAGTCGTTCGGTGTCCTTTAAAGATGAGCTTGAGCTGCCACCCCATCCCCTGCCCTTTTGGGCTTCTTTTTCTTCTTCTGATTCTTGATTTCCCCGGGTTTCTGGGAAACTCCGATTTACTTTCATCTACCAAGAACACCAAGGATTTGATATTTGTGCGCCGCAAGCTTGGCAGCAGATTATTTCCTCTCCTTCTTTATAATATTCCTGTTTGAATACAGCCTCTCTTCTCTCCCTCGCTCCTCTCGACCAGGATGTTGACCGTCCGCTCACCCACCGCCGCTCTCGCGGTCGTTCTCAGTCTGCTGAGCGTCGTCCAAGGCGCGCCACAGAACAGGAAAGGAAGCGGAAATGGCCGCGCCAACAGACAGACGGCGCAACAGCAGGCCGCTCAGGTGCCCCAGGGTATCTCACAAGCGACCGATGGATCCGTGATCCTCGACATGACCGCGAACGTCAAGTAAGGACCCCCGCTTCATCTCACCCGTACATGCCAACTAACGAGAAACCCTCAGCGGCCTCGACCTCCGGTTCAAGATCAGCGGCCCTGCCGACCAATTCACCGCGGCGAGCGGCGTTCCCGGCGCCGCCGCTCAGGCCGGGGCCCAAGGCCCCCTCGGCATCAATGTCCTCCTCCACGGCGATGGCGGCCAGTCCTTCTTCGACATGCCCAACCAGGGCGTGCAGCAGAACCTCGCCGGCGTCGCCATCCTCGCGCCGGACCCGAACCTGTTCTGGGGTGGCGGCCAGGGCCTCCAGCGCACAGACGGCGTCGCCCACTCCCAGGCCGTCAACGACCTCATCCAGAAGACCCTCCCGCAGGTGATGGCCTTCAACCAGTCCAATGTCTTCTTCACCGGAGTTTCTGGCGGCTCGCTGATGCTTTCGGGCTTCTTCATGCCCGCCCACATCCAAAACTTCGCTGGCAACGGTGTGTTGCTAAACTGCGGCGGCCTCCCGCCCCAGGTCGACGTCCAGGACGCGCAAGCCGTCGCCGGCACTCGCATCCACTTCCAGAGCACCCTCCAGGAGCTCTCGAGCCTGCAGAAGGCGATCCCGGCGTCCATCAAGGCGTACGAGAAAATCGCCACCGACTCCGGGCTCAGCGCCGACCAGGTCAACGCCAAGCAGACGGTCAACAACTCGCCCAATGGCGGGCACTGCGCCTTTGACGAGAAGGGCTTCGTGTCAGGGATCCAGCTGGTCGCGAACAACTACGCCGCCATCATGCAGGGCGGCAACGGCGAGGTCCAGGGCATCGGAAACGTGCTGACGGGTGTTACTGGCAATGAGAACCTGCAGTTCACCGGATCGAGCCGGGCGAGGCGCGGGGTGATTGGTTGAGTTGCCAGGTCTTGCAGGGCAAGCGACGTGATACCACAGCCAGAGGGCAGTTGAAAAGAATGTTATTATATTATGTGTTGACTTGTCCCTGTGTGCGTACAAGTGAGAATGACACCTAACTCCAGGCCCTTGAGTAAATGATACTTTAGATAAGAACAGTTTTGACCTTCATTCAGCTGTTTTACCCCGTGACCCCTTCCACATGCCGGCTGTTTGAGACTGGCATCTCTTGTGCAGGAATCTCATTGACACTTATCGCGGGCATTGTTTTCGGCCAAGAACACTCGAGCTCCGCGGCATGCCCGCGTGGAATCCAGTCCGGGTGGAGCTGCGCCTTTATGAACTCCTCCTTTCCGTAACCATTAGCCTCGACAGCAGACCGATCGAGCACCCGTCTACTGTGCCGTCTGAAGAACCACAGCCCGGCAAGGACGAGCAGGATCGCGGTCACGACGCCGATCACGGAGCCGGCTATCCATGCCTTGTCTGGTTCCGGCGAAGGTTTCTGCGTGGCGGTCGCAGACGTGCCTGCGGGCATCGTCTCGGTCGGCATCGTCGTCTGTAGGGAGAGGGCGTTCGAGGTGGCGGTCAGCAGGCCCGTAAACTCGGCCTTCAGTTCTGTCACTTCCCAGGTCCTCAGCATGCCCGGCCGGACTTTTCCGTCGGTGGCAGTTATATCAACGAACTGAACCACCGTCCTGATTGTTATGAGAGTAGAGGGATAGCTCGGTTGCAGCGGTTGCGATGCACAGTAATCTATGAACTGCTTGAATTCGGGATCGATGTATGTCTCGATTGTCGTCTCCGCGTCGATGGCCTCAGCCCTGATGCAAGAGATGCACTCCCGATAGCCCCGCCAAACGTCCGAGTTTGCGTCGCACATTGAGAGAACCTTGCCGACGCTGCTGGCTTCCACATTGACATTGTCTGGCAATACATGTCTAGTTAGAACTTCCGAGTCCGCATTATGGCGCTGGTGCTTACAGCCAAAGGAGTGCTTACTGCAGATATCAAAGCATCCGGCTGGTACGGTTTTCTCATTTCCGCCCGAAACATTCGTGGTTGTCGACGGCGAAGCAGGTGACGACAGAGGGCTTGTCGCCGTTGCCGTCGCCATTGTCTGTCTGCTGCAGCAATCGACAGTTGCTCCGACTTTTCTTTTCTTCTCGCATCAGAATGACAAGCTATGCCCCTTCCAAGTCTCGCAAAGAAACCTCAGAAGCAAAGGTCCTGCCAAAATGGAGGCTGTCAGACTGGGACTTGCCTGGCTTATATAAGGGGACCGCAGGACTAGCTTATATTCCTTGGGGGGTATCGTGCCTTACCATTGGAGCCGGCGAGTATAACGATGACCACATCGCGCTATCGGCTGAGAGGCGGCATAAGCGGTGGAACAAGAGAGCGGTGTCTGACTGGTGGTTCAGGCCGAACCCGGACAATGGTGGGGATTTCCTGCTACCCGGTTCTGGAAGTGAGAAGAAAGCCAGGAGACTGACTTGACCTTGATATTGTGCTACTTACCAAGGTCTTTGATAATGAGATGCAGGTTGGGAAAGGCAGAGCCTGGTTTTATGCGGCAGTCTCTTGACCTGCATACGCAGTTGCAGGTTTGGCTACGGCATCCCGGATACACGGCCACCTGCGCCGGGATTCATCAAGATTTCGAGGAAGAAAAGGCCTCCCCGTTATTGATTCGGGTTCTTCGCTGCATGTAGTCGACACTTGACATCCTAGCTCCATGTTCCTCGCCGTCGAACATCCACACAGAAGAGTCTTGGTGGCCGAGAACGATAAATCAACAAGGAAAATGGACAATGTCCCTCATGAAATAAGGTAAGATAACTTACAGGTCTCCGTGATAGACTCATATTTTGAATTTATATATTTCTAGTCGTGCTCGAACTTGCTCGCCTACACCATAACCCAAACAGCAACTGGGATTCCATCTCACCACTTCCACCTTATGGTTTCCGTTATGTAGACATATCTCAATGTACTTACGAGCTGACTTTTTAAAACGGAATACCTGGATGATTTAACACGGATGAGCATGGAGACAATGCAGAGATTATGGTTAGTACAGAGAATGAGGGATAAGATGGCCAAAAAGTGACACGTGAAACCCACAAACAGATGTAAGGAAGAAACGGCGGTTGAATTGAGACAAGGAACCACACAAGTCTCTGAATCAGAAATCAAATTGGTCACTGAGTTGTTTGTTGTTTTTCTCAAGTCCGTATCTCGGTGTACCTATCCTTTCAAAGTAACTTCTGCTGCTGCAACTAGACGCCTTTACCAGTAAAGCACTGTCCAAACCCACAAACAAATACCTAGTGTCATAGGATGCGTCTCAACCAATTTGATAAAGCTGGCCGTTCCGACGACAGTGCTCATACACCTTCGTCGTCCACTCAGCCTCAACAAGTTCCCTTCCTTCCCATATTTTCGTGGTGCCCTCATGCATGAGCACCATTTCGCCGATTCTGGCGCGCGTGAGCATGACACAGAGTCTTTTAGGGTCGTTCAAGAATCCTGCACTTTTCGTTCGGACAGTATCAACAAATACAAATTCCGCTTCGTGACCTTGGGCAGAATCTACTGTGCGAGCTTCCATCGCACTCATCTTCAGTTCGACCCCGAGTCTGTCTTGGACTTTGAGCTGAAGAGCTTTGACAAACCGCTTGTACCGGACCAAAGCAGCTCTGTAAGGCGTGATGATCAAGATCCGTCCAGGCTTCTCGGGCTGGTCGATTCGCCGGAAGTTCGGATCTTCAAGTAATTCATGGCATCGCTGCTGAATAAAAGCCTCGTGGATGGGATTATAGAAACTGGCTTTGTCACTGGCCTCCGCCGAGCTTCGGTAACTTATGAGGATTCGAGGAACCGCACATTCCTTGCCACCAGTGATCCTCGATAGCCACCCTTGAATGTGTTGGATAGCTTCAGGGAATCGCTCGGATTCGGGTAGGCCTGACGTTAACAGTCCATCGTAGAACAGCTCTGATGCAAGTTCCTGTAGGTTTCCGTACATTCCTTGAGCAAGGTAAGCGGTTGGAATATGAAGAAGATAAACACAAAATCTTGAACTCACGGTGGCTGATATGGAGTTTGCTGTCGAGGGCTCCGGCTAGGTCCGCTCTTTCCATTGTGCTGAGCATCAGCTGTCTCGCGTAGACATTTTCCTGGCCGCTTTTGTCTGAAGCATTGACTCCCTCAACAAATGGACGAGTTTGACGAGTATCGCCTGTCAGAATAAAAGTGTACGGTGAGTAAAGAGCAATCGGAATCATAGCCGTCAGCTCTCTTGCGTGGGCCGCTTCGTCCAGAAACACAATATCGGGGCGAAACCTTTTGCTCAGATAGCCAGCAGCGCCGACTGGGGTAGTAGCTATGAAGTCGGCTTTCTCTATGACAGAGAAATAAAGTCTCGCGACGCATTTCCTCAGTTCTCTAGCCGTCTGGTCTGTCTTGGGTACACCCTCGTTCAGCTTGTCCAAGATCTTTGTCAGGGCGATGTACTTGGTCTTGTCAGCCTCATACTTGTCCCAAGCCACCTCATCCAACGTTGGTGCCCGGCTGTCATCGCGGTGAACTTTCTGCAAGCCACCAAAAAGACGTGCTTGCTTGAGAAAACCGGCAGTGAAATCTGGAGTGTGATCTTCCGTCAAGTTTCGCGGCTCTGGATGGAGCTTTGCGCTGTTCCTCATCTCACGGGCGCAACCACGAACCCGAACAACTGACTTGTGAATTCCAGCATCCTGCAACATGTTATATACCCGGTTGGCAGCATCGTCACACGGATAGTTGACATCCAGCAAGTAAAGAATCTTAACTGGTCTGCGTCTTTGTTTGCCATCCCGCCAAAGTTCCTTGACAGGCTGCGACAGAGCCATAGCAGCGATGAATGCGTTCAACGCTGTTTTCCCAGCACCCGGACATCCAAGGATAAGAGCAAGTCCGGCTGGTATTTGTCGAAGCTGGTCGTAAACATACTTGTGGTCATGGTTCAGCCGACTGTATACCGTCTTCAAGAAGTTATTGGGGTGTTCGCTCGGATTATTCATGTGCGGTATTTTCTCGAACAGGTTGACCCTGAAGCTGGGTTCTTTGCGGAAGTCCAGCAGATACTCAAACGTCCCGAGGGTTGTTGCTGGCAAAGCATTCGACTCCTTCTTCGGCTCCGTCAAGATAGACAATGCCAACAACTCAGCCTCATATGTGATCGGATTCGAATCGACTTTGAGTCTGCACTCGACTGCATTGTGCACAGTCAAAGGGGTAGGCAGGGAGTTGATGTCAGTGGGTTGGGCGATCATGATCGACAACAGCGGCTGAAACTGCTCTTTGGTGACTGGGTGCACCAGGTGCTCCGTAGTCACAGTGAAGACCGCATAATATGAGTACGGGTGTGTTTCTGCCATATCATCGTATGGGTTTGCAATCCGCTCAGCTACCAGCATGTCTTCTTCTCGGGTGAAGTCTTGCATGAAGGCAATTCTGCACCGATTTCCCTCCTCTGGAAAACACCTCTCCGGCTTTTTTGGTAGTTCAACGAGCACGATCCATTTCTTTTGAAGGTCCGAAGAAATTAGCGAATAGGGACCAGGGATTGAGGCGATTACCCAAGCGTATCTGATGCAGGTCGTTTTGTTAAATTGCTCAATTGCGAAAAGTTCGTTCGCCATTTCGGCTTTTGTGCCATCACCGTGGACGCGAGCAAATTCCTGCTTGCTACGGAACGAATGCACCATACGAAACCCGCATCCTCGGCCGTGTAACTGCTGAACCTGTCAAAACTGTCCGTAGAGAACGGAGACGGAGATGGAACGCATACAGGCCGTTTTAGGGCGTGACAAATGGACCCATCTCTTCTGATCCTCTCGTTTTGCTTGACGGTAGTCTCAAAAACAGGAGAATCCGAGGTTGAAGAGCCGTTGCCAAAGACTGGGCTTTCGTCGATAGGCCCGTAGCCTACATTCCACGTGGAGAGAAGCATCTGTTTGTATGTTGTGAGAACGAGAAATGGGTGACAAAATTAATGAGGTAGGAAGACTTACGTTAAGACGCCTGGTGTGGGAAGATATGCTTGGTTTTTACTTCCAGGAGCCGTCTTGTACTCTTGGAAATGTGTACTAAGAGCACATGGCAAGATCCGTATGTTAACAGAAGATAGTGCGGTTGACCTTGATTTTCTGTCAACAATGCTCTCAGAGAGCCGAGATGTTGGTGGGCAGAGGTTGGATAAAAAAAAGTTGTTGCTCGATCTCTTGATGGGAAGGGGAAGTTGCGGAGTCTGCTGACAAAGAGGTATATGGAAGAAGGAGGGTTCCGAAGGGAAGGCGAGTGTCTCTTTCCTCGGGTGAATGGGGTTGGTTCATCACCTAGGTAGGTAGGCGGTGATTCACCTTTTTCCCACTGAAAAGAGAGATAGGTTAGCCACTTCGCAAGTAGACAAGTGCAAAGTACTCACTGTCCAGATGGGGTTACCTTATGGCCTCCTAATGGTTTTATATCAAGGGCTATCGGTGCGAATTTGAGATGCAATAAAGACACTTTGCTTGTGAGGCCCATGAAAAGAGTCAGAAAGGTAGGAAGATATAGACTCCCTCCGGGGCGAGATGGGGAGTGGTAAGTAAGTGAGGAAGGTCCGAGGAAAGCTTGAACTTGTGGTATGGGCGGGAAAGGGAAGGAAGAAGGCCATGTTTCTTGCGAGGCAGCAGATATACTTGTGATGTTTGTGTTGCTGAAGGCTTGAGGCAGCTGCAGACTGGGGATGGAGGGCTGCCTGAAAACTTTCAAGTTCTGATCATACAATCAGCACGACTGATTACATGGTTGTCTCTCTGCATTTGTTCCAGTGGTAGACAAGCCAGGACGCTCAAGGGATCGTATAACAGAGCAGCTTCAAAGAAAGCCTGGAGACGACGGCATGAGAATCACCAGGCACCCACTGGATAAATAACACATTCCATGCCTACGAATTGGTAACGGGTTTTCTGCACTATGACGGTGGCACACCAGTCTGTCCTTGATATTATTCCAGTTGATATGCCGGACACGTGGTGATGATACTGGCATAGCAGACGGCCACGATGGAAAAGGCTGCGGACACTGAGACGTGGAGAAACAATGTCTGTTCTAAAACAAAGCTAGCAGCTTTCAGAAACCTAGCAATGTTCTCGAGATGATGTAGTGCACAGGAATGTCGGCAGCTACATAGTTGGTCGCAGTCACGGACCCGGACCTCGTCATCCGTGTTGTTGTAGGGAGGATGTCGAGAAGGTGGAGTGATGTGAGGTTTCCAGAGGTTGCCAATTTCGACATCGGTTCCTTGTCTTGGTGAAGCAGAGCCTGGTCAAGGCATTGGGATCGGCTTTGATAACCAGAGTAAGAAGATTCAGGGATCGGGATGGGTTTGGCTGCATAGCTAGATATGGAATTTCGAGCATCGCCAGTAATGCAAGTCTATTCTGATTACCCTTGCTGCACAAGATGTCATGTCGTTGTGTCCGTTGTTTCGTCGGCGGAAGCCTACCGCTGGGCTGGGTCTTGTGGTTATTTTAGCCCACAACGGCCAGGACCCGCAAGCAGGGATCAGCAGTTACCTCGCTTCACTACCTAGGTAGGTCCATTATGTACGAGCAAGTCCCTAAATGCTTTGGACAGTTAGGTACAGGGTGGCAGGGGAAAGTTTTATTTCCCTAGTGATGTAAATCGCCACACATTATCTCAGCATCCTACCTGTCTCTTATAGAAATCTATAGTGGTGGTGATAGGTAATGCGTAATAGCTAGATGCCTTTGACAGCTGGCGGACTGGAGGGGAGGTACCTGACAGGGGCGATAAAACTTCGGCCTGGTACCATAGTACTATTAGTGCATGTACCTACTTTCCCCCAGCATTGAGGCAGATATGCAAGTACCAGCTCTGGGCGTCACTGTCATAAACTGGGCGACTATTGGCTCGAGCCTAAACCTATAGCTACTGTGGAGGCAATGCAACTTACACTATGCCGTCGGATGCGGCGCGGAAGTCTGCCATTCTCCTTGAGGGATTTGTGTGCGGACTGCCCACGCCTCCTTGTCGACCTGAAGGTTCCTCGCTCTACCCCACCGCTAAGGGGTTTTCTGCGATTTCCCCATCTAGCGGCGGGTGACTGGTACCCAGCCAAAAGATGCACTATGGGTTTCCCGTTCGTTGGCTGTGGGCATAGATGTACTACGTAAGAACCAGTCAGGAGCAGTGACGTGAATGATTAGCACTCAATCAGGAAACGCAGTGTGGGACCCAACGGTTCGCTTTCCAGTTAGTCCCTGCCACCAAGACACGGAGACGACCAAGGGTCGTGAAGAGGCCGTGTGGCGGGGCAGTGAAGCAGTCCGAGGACACGATTGGCCGAGACTGATAATTATGGGGGGCTGCTCACCGATAGCGAGATACCTGCGCCAGCCCGTAATTTTCTCTCTCTGCCGGCATTTCCCACCCCTCAACACACTCCTCCACTGCCCTGCTGTCTCGACCTCCCCCATGAGCCACATGTACTCTCCTAAATCTGCAGGGCAACATGGAGGCGGGAGGCAACCCAGTCCAACCTTTGATCCACTCCCAACTTCCCTCGTACCGCCGGCGCCCACCTGCTGGCTGCTGAGCGCACCTGCCTCTGGTGAGGCTGAACCACCTGCTTGCACTGGCCTAATAATCCAACGGTCCCCGTTACTGAGCTTGCTTCCGGCTGCGTTTCACCCGTTTACTCTCTCTCGTGGGCTCATCGCCATCACGGCGACTGCTCATCTACCCACCATATCATCTCAATAGAACACTACCAGCAAGGTAGAACCGATTGCTCGTCTTCTCATTCCCATCGCCAGCGTCGTCGTCATCCGAGTGTCTCAGGTCTCTTGGGCGGTTCATGTGGTGCAGCAAGTGCTGACGTGTGGTGCCGAGAATGGCTCCTCCCACAGCCTTGTCTGAGGGTATTACTGCCCAATCAGACCTTGACGACACTGACGAGAGCTCACCATCATTCTTAGACACCTCGACTGACATGGCCCGACTGAAACCAAGAGAGATGCTGCTCCTCTCTAGCCGCGCGACCCTCGAGCCTCGCTCGGTCTCATTATCTGGAGGAGGAGTCGCTGGTGTCGTTGTTGGTGTCATTGTCGCCGTCTTTCTTGCTCTTGTTTGCGCCTATCCGTTCTTTGCCCGTCGGAGGAGAAGCAAGAAGCATGGACCGTCCCAACGTCTTGACACGGAGACGGCTTTCGTCCCCGGGCCGATGGGTCCCTCAGGACAGGCGCCGGCGCCCGGACCCGGAGTCAACAGCCATCTATCATCTAAAGACTCGTTAGGCCATAAGACGGATACCTTACGAGGCACGGAAAAACAGCCCACCAAAGACAAGGCCTTGTATGCTCACAATGGCGTCGACCGCCCTCCGAGCGGTGAGCTGGCCAGTCATCATCAGCGTGGCTTCACCAGCGACAGTACCCAACCGAGTACGACGACGAGACGCGGCACTACCGAGTATTCTTTTGGACGCGCACCTACGTGGAAGAGCGAGGCATCTTACCCGTGGACACCTGTGGGTGTTGAGCTGGTTGCCACTCGCGCTGATGGAATGGACTACGCCGATGCCAATCATGGACATAGTGCAACCTACTACAGTCCAACTATCCCCTCCGAGGCCTTTGGCATGGTCACGCCTCCTACCGGTGAACCACAGACCAGGTCACCGCCTCCAAGACGTTCAAGCTCTCAGGGAAGCTCACTGAAGCTCAACCTAGCGAACATGATGCGCCGCATCAGTACCAAGGACTCCGCCTTGACCCGCACAAAAGGTTACCCTGCACAACCCTCGCAGCCAGTTCTCAGCGAAGTGCTATCTGACTCTCCTACCGAACTCACAGGAGCATCGTTCCGCGAGCGAGGTCCTGGGGCGGTATCAACCCGGCAGTTGGACTCGCCCATTCACCTTCCTGTTAGCCCCATGTCGGAGTCAGAGGAACTTGATCACGCCCAAGAGCTGGACGCAATAAGAGCCGCCAAACGCATCGAGTCGCCCCCTATCTTGCCACCTATTGTACCTGCGCCAGGCACTGTGAACCCAATGGATATTATGGCCCCGTCTAATCCGACAGAGCACCACTGGCATACAAACCAACAGCTATATCAGATGGCCAATTCACCGTCCAGACCAGCACCCGCCATCACTAAGCCGGCCCAGAATTCGCCACAACCGTCACAAGCTCCTACGCCTCAGTCGCCTCTTGAAGAATTATTCGAACAGGAGCAACATCAGCAAGATTTCAATGAAGCACCAAAGGTGTACGAGAATGGGCACGCTCAAGGGAACGGATGGAATAGTGCAGACGGCAGCAACGCGAACAGGATCACTCAGGACGTTCAAATGAGCGACGGTGCCCACCATGCCGACTCTACCCACCTTATGCCTGACCACAGCCAACACTATCTCGACGGAGACATGACTGATCCGTCCGAACACTCCCCACCGATGCTTGGACACGCTAGCTCTGGACCATCACATCAAAGCACCCCAAATACACAAATCGACAGCAGCCCATCTCCAAGATCAGAAGGCAGCTCCGACATTCGTAATAGCACTTCGCCATACCCGGGATTGCAACCGTCACCTCGAACATTTATCTGTGATGAATGCGGCAGGTTCTTCGATCAAGTACATAAACTAAAGTAGGTTGCGCCCATGGCCAATTTGTTTGCAAAACTAATAACCCCAGCCACCACAAACGGTACCACGAGCGGCCTCATGAGTGTAGTCACCCGAATTGCGGCAAGAGGTTCGGTACTAAGACGCACTTAGATCGCCATATCAACGACAAACACAGGAAAACGAAGAAGTTTCATTGCACTGTGAGCACTTGCCCCTACTCCAAGGCCGGAGGTAAATCCTTCCCGCGAAAGGACAACTGGAGGCGGCACATGATGAATATACACCAAGTTACACCAGTGTGTGATCCTGAACCCGATATTGTCGACGAAGCAATGGGAGGAACATGAGACACTGGGAGCGAAGCTGCGCACAAGACCACACAACCAACTGAGTGAAGAACGTTGTAGGGTATCTTTCAACGAAGGGGAAAGACCAGCAAGCCAACAGATGCGGAATAACGCTTGGGAAGTGGTCTGTTCAAAAATAACAGGCGGGTGACTTGCAAGCTACCACTGCCACGGCTCGTCAGCGAACGGAAAGAAGAGGGACGTAGCACGACACAAGATCTGGAAGAATGGTTGCCGAAGGTGGCATCCGAGAAGGGCGATCTGCGTCCGCATTAGCGACGCTCAGGGGCGTCATTCTTTTTTTATCATTTTTTTTTCCAACTCGACAGCGGTCGGTTGCTTCATATACAGCGTGTTTGACTCCAAAATCAGGAAAATCGGAGGCAACAAGGAGACCTTTTGTCGGAACCTGCCAAAGGCAGTAATTGGGCGTTTGGAGGCCCGAAGACTGGCCAAGGTACATATTGTAGAACAAGGCAAAAAAAGCATCATGGGGGGCGTGTGCAGTGGATTTAACTCAGACTTTTGATTAACGACCTTACGAGCTTCTTCTGCTGATCGACTGTGAGGCCCCGCTCATCTGTCTCCTGGATAGCTCTTCCAACCGCAATGATGGTTTTGACACTCTCGCTATTGACCCAAATCTTGCCATTTCGACCCACGGCCGTCTCGAAGGCCGCGCCCGTGGCACCCAGCTCTTCCAACACAACAAGATCTGTCGTCTTGGGCTTGAGCAAACGGCGCGCCATGCCAAGAGAGATGTTGAAGAGCATACCGCCGACGAGGGGACCCAGGCCGTCGGCCTTGCCGGTGGACTGGTAGACGCACTCAAGCTCGGGGTCCATATGCTTGTTTGCGAGCGTGACGCGAGCGTAGACTAGCGCGCCGGAGGCAAGCTGAGGGCGAGTCTTCTTCGTAGCCATCTCGAAAGAAAGCTGGGGCAGGATGGCGGGTGTTGAGTAATCGGCCAGGAGGACGTAGTAGAGTTCGGCAGCGGTGCGCTGGACGGTGCCAATGACAAGGTCGCCGACGGTGGGAATGTACTGTTTCTCACGCGTTAGCATGTTGAAGGCAGGGTTGAGTGGTCAATGGGCTGGACTCACACGTCCACTTGTCTGCTCAACCCATATCGAGTTCTTCTTGCGGTCGGAAACCATCTTGCCGGCGATAGTGGGCACTATTTGCCTGGGAGGGACATGTCGAAGGCCAGGGCCGAGTCGCAGGGGAAGTTTCTGATGTGACGGGATCAGAGACGCGTCAATCTCGTCGCCAGGAAGCACAAAAAGACCATCGGAGGCCATTGTGAGCGTTCTGGGCGGTGGGCGATGCGATGTTGAATTGGAATCGCCAAGGTCAGGTCAAGTCTCCTTTTTTTGGCTTCTGCGCCCGTCTGTGTCTGCATTCAGCCTTGTAGCAGAAAGTTGAAAGCTTTGGCGGGGCACCTTCCTTGTTCATTTGATTGGAACACGGCCCGGTGTGTGTGGGGGACGGGGGGGAATCGACCGTCCCGTCCCACTGGGTGATAGAGCGACTGGGAATTTTTTTTTCCCTAGCCCAAAATTTTGGCACTTTTGAACCCCCACCATTGACCACCGTTGAAAACACTCGTCTCCGAGATCTCGACAGGAGCCCGCGAAACCCAAACATAGTCAAAGCCTGCAACCTGTCGCTATTTTCCGATCAAATCTCCCGAAGAACGCCATCAAAAACTTTTGCGACCTATAGATATGGCTGCGAACGGTGACTCGCGGCCCGCGCCGGGCGACCGTACCGTCATTGGTATCACCTTTGGCAACTCCAATAGCTCCATCGCCTACACCGTGGACGGGAAGGCCGAGGTCATCGCTAACGAGGATGGAGGTCAGTTTAACGGCAGAAGCTTTAATTTGTGGCTGAATAGGACGCAGCGCTGACCGTGCGGGATTTCTCCCGCTAGACCGTCAAATTCCCACCATCCTTTCCTACGTTGATGGAGACGAGTACTACGGCGCTCAGGCCAAGAACTTCCTTATCAGGAATCCCAACAACACGATCGCATACTTCAAGGACTTCCTTGGCCAGGAGTACGGCTTACCTACATCTACGTTCTCCTCTCCCTGACCGCATCTGACTGACACTGCCGCAATAGCTTCAAGGCCATCGACCCCACCCACAACCACGCCTCCGTCCACCCCCAGGATGTCAACGGCACAGTCTCCTTCGCTGTGAAGGACAAGGAAGACGCCGATGAGCCCTCCATCGTCTCCGTCACCGAGGCCGCAACACGGTACCTCCGCCGCCTCGTCGGCTCCGCCAGCGACTACCTTGGCAAGAAGGTCACGTCGGCCGTCATCACCGTCCCCACCAACTTCTCCGAGAAGCAGAAGGAGGCCCTCGTCAAGGCCGCCAACGACGCCGATCTCGAGGTGCTCCAGATCATTTCCGACCCCGTCGCTGCCGTCCTCGCCTACGATGCCCGTCCTGAGGCTAAGGTCGAGGACAAGATCGTCGTTGTCGCCGACCTGGGCGGCACCCGTTCTGACGTCGCCGTTGTTGCCTCCCGCGGCGGCATGTACACTATTCTCGCTACTGCCCACGACTACGAGTTCTCCGGCAGCCACCTTGACCAGGTTCTCATGGACCACTTTGCCAAGGAGTTCATTAAGAAGCACAACACCGACCCCCGCGAGAACGCCCGCTCCCTGGCCAAGCTCAAGGCCGAGTCCGAGTCCACCAAGAAGGCTCTCTCCCTCGGCACCAACGCCAGCTTCAGTGTCGAGAGCTTGGCCGAGGGCTTTGACTTCACCTCCACCATTAACCGTTTGCGCTATGAGATGATCGGCCGCAAGGTCTTTGACGGCTTCAACCGCCTCGTTGAGGGTGTCGTAAAGAAGGCCGAGCTCGACGTCCTCGACATCGACGAGGTTATCCTCGCCGGTGGCACCGCCCATACCCCACGCGTCGCCGCCAACTTCGCCAACCTCTTCCCCGAGTCCACCAACATCGTCGCCCCGGCCACCCAGGCCGCCGCCATTAACCCCTCGGAGCTCCTCGCCCGAGGCGCTGCCCTTCAGGCCTCGCTGATCCAGGAATACGAGGCCGACGACATCGAGCAGAGCACGCACGCCGCCGTTACGGTTGTTAAGCACATTGCTAACGCCATCGGCGTCGTCGGCGCTAACGACGAGTTCGTCCCCATCGTCCCTGCCGAGACGGCCGTCCCTGCCCGCCGCACCATCCACGTTGCCGGCCCTAAGGATGGCGGCGACGTCCTAGTCCGCATCGTTGAGGGCGGTGCCCACATCAAAGTCACCAAGCCCGAGCCCAAGGCCAAACCCGAGGCCAACGGTGACGAGGACGACTCCGACTTCGACTCCGAGGAGGAGGAGGAGGAGACCCGTGAGAAGATCTGGAAGGTCGGTCCTACCCTGGCCGAGGCAGCCGTTCGCGGCGTCAGCAAGGGTGCCAAGATTGAGGTCACTATTAACGTCGCTGCCGACTTGGGCGTTACGATAACGGCGAGAGAGGTTGGCAGCAAGGGAGGTGTCCGCGGCAACATCGCGGCTCCTTGAACGATCTCTTCCGGGGGAGTAGTGTTTTCACGACTTGTAAAAGCACGCGTGTCAGCGACGGCTGGTCAGGCGCAAAATTAGTAAAAGAAAAAGGAATCGAAAGCTAGAAGACATGGATTTCTTAGGGGGAAGGCAAGGGATGATTCAAAAAGACATGGAAATGAATGACTGGAATATAGAGCAGGAGCAAAAGTGAGGACTTTGAAAGAGCATTGAAGGAGTCAGAGACATTGAGCTTCCCTCGAGTTGTTCTAGGATACGGGTCACTGGATGTTTATACTGAGCATCTTGTCGAACCCCGGGCACGGAATGCGTAACTGAGTCTATAAACCACAGCAGTTGGCAAGCGACACCAAAGTACAGGTTTCTATTAGCTTCGTGTGAAGAGAACCAAGAATGCGTTGCTGATGATGAAGGAAAGAAAAAGAGGGGCATCGTTTATGCAAATGTACGCCTCCCTATCAACACCTCGCTATAATATGGATAGTGGCCCAAATGCCCAAATACAAGGTCACGGGAACCACTCCTTCGTCTCTGCTTTGTCCCGCTATCCCGCTTATGTGACAGCACCGGGCAACCTCCAGGCGACGAGATCGTCTCGCACGTTAAATTCCTCAAGCTCTCTATTTCGTCTCGACGCCTCGCGTCCACGGTCGCTGCTGCCCATAGTCGGCGCTAGGCTCACGATGCTGCCGCTGCGGCTCCTCGATCGGCCATAGCTGCGTCGACTGGTGCCGCCTTCCCCCTCTCGGCCCCGTAAGCGACTGTGAGACCCCCGACGAGCAACGTTGCTCGCCCCGGCGGTGCTGCTGGCAGCGTCGCCGCGACCAGTAACGACGGTCGTCATGCTCCTTTCGCTGGAACCGCTATTGTTGCGGGAGTGATGTCGGTGACCAATGTGAAGGTGGTGGAGGCGGAGGTGGTCCTGCTGAGGCGGCTCCTGCTGTTGCTGTTGCTGCCCTTGTTGCTGCTTCCGTTCCATTTTACGAAAATCAGAAGGACGAAGGGTGCCGCCCATGGTGCCCTCATCGGAACTGAGGGAACCATCGTTTTCAAGGTCGAATGTGGCCGTCTTTTTGCCGGTACGTCCCTGGCGGCCTGTCCGCCAGCCATCGCCGCCGGAGAAGATGTCTTCGATGCATTGGTCAGCAGAAAGTTCGTCAGGCTGGCAGGACCAGGAAGCTGCGAGGGCGCGGCGGTACATGTCTTGCACCTCGGAGGCGTCGCGGGATTTGGCCATGGTCGGGAGCTCTTCAATAGTCCGTCAGTATATACAAGGATGGAAGAGAAATACACATTCAGTGGCAAACGTACGTCCAGCGTCGTCTTGTTCAACCGATTCACCGGCCACAATGCCGGCGATCCCTCCAAAGACAGGCGCAGTCCTCAGAGGGGGCGCAGAGTAGTTCTTGTCGCCGTCGAGCTGAAGCATCAGGATTCCAATCTTTAGAGTGCTGTTGATCTTGCTCTCCTGCATGAGGTAGCGCCTGACGATGCCATCCACGACGTCCGGATCATCCGTGATTGGGGCTCTTGGCGACAACGGGCTTTGACTCGTGCCACTGCTACGCTTGCGCGAGTGACTACGGTCGAAGCTCACGCTCTCGCGGGCGAGACCGTCGCTCTCCTCGACATACTCGCTGAGATTGAGCTTGACGATGCCAAGGGAGATCTTTTCCTCGCGGCCGGTGCCCGGAAACTCCTGCAAGACCTCGAATTCGATGGGACACTCGGTCAAATTGTTGTTTTTGTCGATACTGATCCGAATGTGGCTGACCGTCTTGGAGTAGTTGTACTCAACCTTGTGGTTGGAGATGGGGCATTTCGGCGTCCGTCCCCGGTGCTCGGCGTGGATGGAATGCGAGAGATGCCATTTTACTATTGATGTTCCGGATACTAGCGGGACGTTGTTTAAGTCGTAAATCTGGAGATGGATCAGCAACGAAAACCAGGTTTTCTGAAGACAGATAACTCTGTTGAGAGGGGTTCACACCTTTAGGTGTAGCTCAAACTTTGGCTGCGTCACAGAATGTCAGCCCCAACCCGTTCGCTGAGTAGCCCTCCCGACGCCGCAAACCCTCCACTTTTTTCTTGAATTGAGTTTCCTGCGACAGGACGATAGGTGTGGGCGTTTACCTTTCTGTTTTTATTGACTGTGGGAAGGAAGCCCCCGTTAGCCATGCTCTTGAGAGGACTCATGTTGGGCGAGCGATTTGCTGATGACAAAGAGAAGTGTCGAGAACAAGAGAGAAGCAAACCGAGGCGGGGACTAGAAAGCCCCGGGCCCCAACAAGACGTGGCTCAAGGGAGAGACATAGGAATGCTGAGGATGTTGGTTTTGGAGGCGACGGGCGAGTAAAGCTGCAAGGGGGGGGAAGCCACCGAGATCTCTCTCCGGGGTTGTCTCAGTAAGATCTCAGCCTTATGCAAGGCCGAGGTGAGCAGACAGCAACCCACGTGGTGGAAAGGAATGTTGGTTCAGGAAAATGAGAAGATCGACCACACAAGGACAGCGACGCCGAGAAAGACGACAAGGGACGAATGACAAGTGTGGACAAGACGGGGAGGGGGGGCAAATGATGGAGGCTTACTTAAGGAAGCCATGTTTCATGGACGGCATGGCTGGTTGGGTCGTATCGGGGAACAGGTTAATAATACCTGCCGTCTGAGGCGAGGACCGCGCCCGCGCGCGCCGTCGGACGATAGAAAGGGTGGACTGGTTACGTGCAAGGACAGGCAAGGCAGACGCAGGCAGGTGCAGACACGCAGAGTGATCCAACGACAGGAACAAGAGACCTGTTCGCCCTGTCTGTCGGCCAGCGGCGCTTGGTTTCAGAATGACCAGCAGCACGGTAACGAGAGGCTGAGAAGGAGGGGGTGCGGAACTGTCTATACGGCTAATAGATAACGGGATGCCGACACCGTGATCCTGTGTTTTCTCTGTATGTCCGTTGAAGGAAAGGCTCGAGGTCGCATGTGAGGTCAACGACCAATCATCGTCTATCTGACCGCCGCGTCGTCCGCACGTTTGTCCCCTCTTCGGTCCGAGTGCGCCCGTCGATGAAAGAGACCGGGAGAGTGGTAGAAGACAAGCTTGGTTGGATGAGCAGGGGATGGTCAGGAAGGAATTCGGGGGGTTCCAGTCCGTCCACTGACAGAATTACTCAGCAGGTAAGGGGGTTCCGTAACATGTACAGTATCGCAAAGGCGCGGTTGCTCGGCGGTGATGGCTGGTCGGGCTAATCAGTATATGGATTTGGGAGAATGCCGTCTTTTCTCCTTGGGCCTATTTTTCTTATGAAAGAAGAGAGTTCGAACGAGGGGCGGCGAGCACGTAACTCAACCGATGTCCTGGAAGCATGCCTAGCTGGTGCCAATAGGATGGCCCCCTGGGCATCCCGGGCATCCCGGGCGTCCGACAGGCGACAGGCGACAGCGCTGCAGCGGCATGTGCCTTGGCCCCAAGCTTAATAAGCCACAATGGATCCCCAAATCTACCTATGTATTTATATTAGGTAGCCAGCGCCACACTATAGCACCACGCCGAATTGAGATTCGTGAGCACCGCTACTAATTACGAAGCTAAATAGCTAATGTCCAAATGATTTATTCCCATTTCCCGGGCTGGGGGGAGAGGGTTTATTCAACTTGCATTGGTATCCCTCGACACATATCATCTTGAATCTGGTTGAACTTTTTTACTCGTGAAATAGGCAAACGGTAAACGGCCTGATGCCTCACCTACTGCGCATGAGGGTCTAGTAGAACGGGCTTGCGTACGTAAACACTTTCGGCTGCAGGAACCATCAATCTTACCAGGAAGCAAGAAATATGGGGGGCCATCCATTTTCTATTGTGTAATAATTCTTAACATCAATTCAAACACATTACTCGGCCATGCATCGGAACGACATCTCCTAGCTGATACTCTACATATCCCTTCGGTTTACCTACTCAAATTAACGTTCCAACGTCTTATACTCTGTATTGATTGTCGATGGTGGTTGAAACCGGTTGCTAGACTCTTGTATTCACGGTAGGTATGCTTGTTGCAACGCTGCAAACAGACGATCAACGTGGCTCGAAGCTTCGCTTAAGATACAGCCCGGAAACGGCCAATTCAATCCATACAGGTAATACGTGAAGGGGATGCGTACAGACAGGGCCTGGACCTCATGATCCCCTCGAATTAGATAATTCCAGGCATGGAGACAACGAGCCAGTGATGATGCCGTTCCTCTTCTGAGGCCGAATGTCTCACCCTGCTTTCTGATCCGGTCCAGGCCGAATATTTGCCTAGATGCTTGTTCGTATTGTCCCGTCCAGTTTACGGAATCCACGACGAGACACAAGAGATCGCGCTCGCAATGCGATCCCTGGCGTTCGAGAAGTCAGGGCATACCACTTATGTCATCACGCACTCGCCAAGACAAACCATACGAAGGACCATTCTAGGCCCTTCGTGAACCTCCCCAAAAGAGAGCTCCAAGCCAAGCAAGCGACCAGGGGGCCTTTGAGGAGGCCCAGCAGCAATACCCGCCCCGTTCGCTCCCTTGCAGTGGCCGTCTCTCGCATGTGTGACACAGTGCCGTCTCCACATCTCAATCAAAACCCCAGCGACATTGCTAAGAAATTTCTCGAGCCGCGTACGTCATATTTTTCTCACCTCTCACCCAGACGAGCTATGTCATTTCTTCACAGGAACCTGTTTGGGAAGAGAGGGATGGGGGATGAGATAATCACACGCAGCCACGAACAAACTACCGGTACAGCAGCCGCCACGCTTTTTTCTTGGGCCCAAGCTGGGAGGGGCTGGTGCGGTACGTATCTGTACAAACTGGTCCAGACAGAAGCATCATGACATGCTCGTCTCCAATCATCGATTGGGCTTATGGGCTTTGATCCAACACGAACGCCAGAAACGTGCAATCACAACGTCGATGCAGAAAACTTTCTGCACTCTAACGTGAGGGGGAACATACAAAGGGCCCCTCTTTGGACCTTACCCTACCGCTTTGGGACGGTGCATTTGTCCCGGCTCCATCGAGCCTCTAAGATAACATCTGGTGACGAGTAAGAGACCCTCAACTCAGCCTAACAATGCACGTGGGCTGGGATCGAGTCACACCCTCGTCTCAATTATTTATCGATCTTTATCGGTCAGTGTCAACATGTAACCTTGACGCCAGTGTACTACAGCGGTAAAGGACACGGCAGGAATTGAGGGATGAAGGACTGGGGGGGGAAATGTGATGCATCACGGGAGATTACTACCTTGACGTCATTATGCGGTGTACCACGAGCAGATCCCTTCACCCACACACCTTACCTCCGGTCCAAATCTAGCAACCCGACGAGTAGTAGTCCAATGTGTGTGATAACGGTTAGCCCACAAAGGGAAGAAGAATTTGCCAATGCGGGCTGGAAGAATAGGTATTGTGTCACCACACGTAAGGCCGTGATGTAGGTCACAAGGGGTGGCGCGTACTCTGGCTGGTTCTGATCGTTTGTAGTGCGAACAATGTATATAAGACCCTTTCTCTCTCTCCTGACAATAGTGTCGACATTATTAATTCAACACCATAACAAATCATCAAGCAATCAAACAGCGAATCTCTTCAGAGGCGACACTCTTCCATCCAAATTATCATCACTGAACAAACCACCAGCCCAACACACCACACAACCGCAAAAATGGGCGCCGTCGTCTCTTGCGTAAGTTCTGCACCTTGCCCAGGAAGCCATCATCATAATGTCACAGCAAATACTGACCCAATCTGCTTCAGATCCAATCCGTTTTCCGTACTATCGGTAACTGCCTGACCTCTATCATCTCGGGCATTGGCGGTATCCTCCACGCCATCATCGGCGGTATCGTCTCTTTCTGCAACATAATTATCAGCTTCCTCACCTGCGGCTACTGCGGACGCCGCGGCAGCGGCGGCGGTCGCCGGTCGCGCCATACGACCACGACTAGAAGTCGAGTCTAAGCCGGCCCTCATCTGCGAATGTTCCGGATGGACAGCCTACAATCAAGCGTCTTGCCGTTCACAGATCGAATGAGGGAGACGTCACACTTTATGATATGAGCATTCACGAGCATTCGATTCGAATTCTTTCTGCCAGAGAGAGGAGGGGCAACCAGGGGAGGAGGCATGGATACCTGCGACTGCTTTTATCGAGCGTGCGCGATCAGCTTTGACAGCATACCCGAGTTTCTTTTTTCTTTTCCACGATACCCATATACCAATCAGCTTAGCTTCAATGGTATTACAAGATATCCACAATTTCCTACTCCTTGAGAAACATGATGTAAACCTGTTCAGTACACATTTGTGATGGTGTTAACCATTTGCACTTTGCCGCTCCTCTGAATTCGTACCGCTTGAATAGCAGTTAATTTTTTCAATTTCGTCAAGATTGATAAGATCTACGTTATTGCCAGAATTTTGGCTGTGCTAGCCTTATGAAGTGATGATGCATTTCCTCGTGCAACTGGTCGAAGCGAAACATCTCACCACCTTGAAATAGATACTGTTCTTAACGCCATACGATGGTCTCAAAACACATCTAATCTTCTAGCACATTTCGATTGAAGAACCCGTATATTTGCCGTCCAGCCTCCTTGCCAACCATTGGCTCTAGCTCACGCTCACTCAAGTTGGCAACCTCTCGTATATTCTCTGTCGCCAGGACCAATCGCATGATATTCTTTGGGTTTACCCCGGGTACGGCGCTGAGCATCTCCTGCGGCTCCAAATTGAACGCCTGGTCTTCTGCCTTCATGTCACTATCCAAGCCGGCGCGGACCGCGGCGATCGGATCTGGTTCGTCCTCCTGCGACTTGAGCGACTCAAAGATCTCGGCAGTCTGATACGGCGAGGACGACCAAATGATGCGCAGCTTCGGGAATGCCAGCGTGAGAAGAACGAGCTTGGATTGCAAGTCGGACGAGACATTGGTTGGTGCAATGCTGTTGAGGCTACCCGACAGGTCGGCGAAGGGCTCCAGTGTGAAGGATTTGTTCTGATCGAATTCGATGAGGAGCATAGGGCTCTTGTAGTGCTGGAACATGGTCTCACACTGGGCGTACAGGCGTCCGTCCTTGAAAGAGGAGATCAAATCGCTGATAGACTTGCGCTCAACGCAGATGGCGGGCGATAAAACGTAGTCTCCTACTGTCAGCATGCAGGGTACGATGATCATGGATCGGCCGTGTAAGAGTGAAGGGAGCGAAGACCGGAACTCTCGCACGTCGACGACAACACGAGGCGGCTGTGCCGTGGCAGCGAGACGCCCACCGCCGGCGATCCGCGTGTTGATCGTTCGCAGGAAGGCCTCCTGCGGGTCCTCGGCGCCGTGCGGATCTACCGTCATTACCAACGACATGGACGCCCGCTCTTTGATGAGTTTCGTAAATGCGTCTTTCTCGCGTCGCACACTCGACAAGTAGCGTTGCTCCTCTACTGATTCGCCATAGTACATGAAGTACACGCGGACATTTCTGTCGTTGTGAGACGACCGGTAGACCTCGACTCGACGGATGAAGGCAGCATCGGGTTCATACATGATAATGTACCGCGGCTTGACCTCTTCCAAGACATGCTCGTCCTGGTCTCCGTCGTACGCGTGTATGACGACCAAATCTTGCATCTCGTACAGCTGGTAATAGTCCTCCATATTCTCTAAGGGGTCGCTGACGATTTCTGGCTTCTGCTCTGCTTCCTCTTCCGTAATTTGCACTTCGGCCATGAGATCATCGACTTCTGCCGGTCGCTCAAAGAATTGGAGGATGCTACCATTGTCGGCCCGGACGAGAGACGTTCCAGCAGCACCGCCGCCTCTCATCCGCCTTCGCTTGTTCGATGGCGCTTTGCCCCGAAGTCGCTGGCCTGACCGATCAGTTGCCCCGTTCAGGGCTTTCTGGTTCTCGGAAAAGAGCGTTGCGTTAACTTGGGCAAACTCCCGCTTCCACCTCAGATAGTTGCGTAGTTTTCGTCGCATCATGAAGGCGGCGGACGGCTGGTCTTCCTCTTCATCGTCTTCTTTCGTTAGGTCCTTCTCGACTTTTGGCTTGAAATGCATCGTTTGCAGGTAGTCGCGAAGTTGTCGGCAAGTGTTGGTATCACCGCACATGATAAGTATAGTACCATTGGAGTCGTCGCGGACCGGGGGGTCGAAATGCATGCTGTTGTCGATCTCCGTCAAGACGTCCGCCAGCCACGCCCATTTCGGCTGTTCCTCAAGGACGGGCCGGAGTGAATCGATATTTGCGTCCGCCGTGGCGGCTTTTGAGCTGGCGGAGTAAACTCGTCGTCGTGCTGTCTCGAATATCGTTTGGGCAGCATCGAGAAATAGCCAGGGGGACTGGTTCTGCCTCGTTGACCCGGGAGGCGGGGAGTGTGCTGCGTGAATGGTGTCCAGGTGTTGCAAGAACGAGACGGCATCAAGTGTGAGAACTGACTGAAGCATGCCTCGAAGGACGCTTAAATCGTTAACGATTTGCCGTGTCTTCCAGCTCACTCGATGCCAGTTAGGGTCGAGCTGCCTTCTGATGATAACGTCAAAGTTCTTGTGCAAGGCGCTGTCGAGATTCCAATCCTCCATTTCCAGGCCGTTGTTGCCCTTTTTCAACTCATGGATGCTGACCTCGACGCATTCCATGATGGCGTTCTGAATGTCCCTCATAGCCTCACTCATTGATATATTCAATTCAATAACTTCTGCAGTCTTCTTCCCTTCTAGCGACTGGGCGACCGTTACGTGAAACCGTGGCCATAACGAAGCTTTCCTCAGAAACAGATTCCTCATCATGGTGGTTAATGGGGAAAACCCGATCGAAAACGGATCGGGATTGTCTGAGAATGCCTTCAAAAAGCCAACTTTGTTCTTCTGCCGATAGATTCGCAGAATGAAGGCTTCTAAAGACGTCGCGACAACGCGATCGGCGTGAAGAACGACGAGGCCTGTGATCTTCTCGGTGTCGATGAGGTTAGTCAAAAGGTCAACAACCAATATTCGCGAAGTGATGCTGAATATTCCGCCACGGGTATACATCTTTTCTCTTGTGCCAACGCTGGTGAAGTCGGTGTTGACAACTGTGAGGCCCCTGGCGTTGGGGGACATGCTGATGGCGGCATGCTCGGCCAAGGCCTCTCCAATCCAGTTGTTCTCTCGTTCATCGGCACCAACGAGAATAATCAGGTTGTTTCCGGCTGCATCGTACGAATGGAGCAAATTCGTGACGAGGCGCATCAGCCCCAAGCCGCGGGCGAGGACAACCAGCTCATCTTCATTTCTCAGCTCTTGGAAGAGGTTCTGCTGGTATTCCTGGGCGGGGTCAGTTTGGTGAAAATCAATCACCACGGAGCCGACACTTACAAGGGGTAGTGAGAGCTTGACCGGTTGAGCGTTGGTTGACATGGTGCATCGTGCCTGGGCGTGAGAAGACGCAGCAGTATCTAGTGAGGTTGGTGGTTGCCTGGACCGTGCAAGACATCATGACTGGACGGATACTGACCTAACTACCATCCCGGGGTGATACAGTGCAAAGACTGTACGTACGTCTCTCCGGTTTAGACGCCAGCTCTCACCATTTAGTTAGCACTGTACGGTTTTGCCTTGGAAAATTTAGTTCTCGTAGCGAGTTCAACCTCAAGATGGATTATTTGAATGATGCATAAAGCGCAGTGAGTTTCCAGGTTTATTTGATACCTATAGTTAGTAGACTTACCGGATCTCTGGCGAGCGAGCGACTACCAAATGATCCTAGTATATGACCTTTGATATCCATCTCAGATACCTACTTTCATGCTTGGGCAATGAAGAAGTCTTCTGTCCTCACATAATCCAGATTCTTACTTTTCCATCATGTACGATTTTCCTAGTACAGCAAACACCGCTGATTTGTTTTGGCGGCAACCTGCCCCGACAGACAAGCCAGATGATCGCAGATTACGGTACAATACTACCCCTCCCATGCCGACGGTCGAGATCTTCAAAAGTGATCATTATTAGCGCTCACGCCCCTCGAATCGACGCGGCCCTGCAACGATAACTGGTAGATGCATTCATGGGGACCGGCGTGCTGTAACTGTAAACCGCCGTCCGCTGTCAAGATTTTGGCCCATCCTGCGCCATATTAGCGGCCCCATGACATGTACGTAACTCGCCGGTGACGCGCAGGAGTCTGGCCAGCATCTTCCCATCCGGCTTAATGGCTGCTCGAAGGACCGTCCATGACCGATCGAGACGGGCAGCCAATGAAATAGCTTAGGCCGTTGTGCCGTTGTCTTTGCTCGGGAGGCCTTCCAGGTAAGTGGGGATTTGTTGCTCGGGGTTGTCACTTTAACCCCCCTTCTTCGGACGGCGGAACGACGTCATCAGCCGTCGCAATCCTCCAAGTACCGCCTGAAGCGTCTCATCTCACATGTAAGCCACCAACAAAGATAGTTTAAAAGAGCTCATTCCCCTGCCCCCTCATAGCGCTTTTCTCATGTCCAGACAACACACTTGGATCAAATCAAAATAAGCAACTGAAACATTACTCACCTAAACAAACAAATTACATATTTACGATGGCCGACAAGGTTAAGGAACTCGTCAACAACATCACCAAGGGTGACGTACGTACACACAGAACTAGCTGAGGACGGAGGAGCAACAAGCTGACTTACGAGCAGAACTCCGACAAGGAGAAGCAGTTCAGCACTCAGCCTATCAACGAGAGTGGTGCATCTGACCCCAAGTTTTCCGCTCACCAGGCGCACCCCGGTCCTGCCATCCCCAAGGACTTCAATGCCCAGGAGGAGGGCACCAAGGAGGAGCGCCGGGCCAAGGCAGAGGCTTTGAACAAATAAATAATCTGCCTCTGGGGCTGCATCTTTAAGATGATTGACGATGTATGACTAGTCATGATTTGTAGAACATGGAAATGATAAGGGCAATACGACAAGTACCGTCGGAAATGGCGGGCTGATAGCGTAGTAATAATGTCAACGAAGTCATGAACGAGTGCCCGTACAACCCGAGACTTTTGACTTGACCTGGACTTCCTTGTCAAGCCCGATCGCGCAATTTTCAGTAGATCTGATACTAGTCTGCAACATTGCAGCCTCGTGAAGATAGATCTATTGCAATTCCACAACAAGAAAAGGCCATGTAACTTGGGCTGGGGGATAGGTTGTCAACCATACGGTTAGGTACGCTACCTAAACCCAGCGCAGTTGGCAGTTGCGCGTCCACAATGACGACAGGCTTCCTCATCATTCCACGTGGCGGTGCTAAGTTCGGGATTCTGTGGCTGGTGCGAGTGACCAGCACTACCTACCTACAGGTACCCTGTTACTCGCGGGAAGAGGAACTGGAACAGGGGAGAAGCCTAAGCCTGAGCTGACGCCCGAGCAGCGCCCGAGAGAGGGAAACATCCTAGCCGGCTTCCACTGAAACGAACGACTCAGCCACCTGCCACGGCCCAGGAGCCGGTTACGAGTCTCCCCGCTGGGCGCACGCAGTGCTGATGTGGACGGGCTGCATAAGGGTGGTTTGGGTTGGCTGATACCTGAGTAAGTCCGTCCATCGATCGTTCGTCATTCCTTCTCCCGCGAGTAACATTGTCCCATTCGCATACGCACAAACACACCGCAACCACCACCACCACCACCCGGGCCTTACCCTCACGCGGCATAACCTTCTCCTCACTCAGCCTTCCCTGGAGCCTTCCTACGATATCCCTAGGTTTCCCCATTGAGTGATGCGAGTCCACATTTCTTGAAACGCCCCCGGACCCGGAAGCTCTGGCATCTTTGACCACAAGCTTATTGTCTCTTTACTTTTTTTGGACATTGCAGAGTGGCTGCCTCACGTACTGTTACTGATTGCATAGTACAGACACTCATTGTACTGTGCCTTGCTTCCCTCAACATCCAACAGACTGCCTCTACCGACTTGTCCCCTGGACCTCGTCCACTTCGCTACTGAAAGCGACCGACCTACGAATCGCCGTCCCGAAAGAGGAGGTGTCTTGCCTGTTCAAACTAGTCAGCACCTACCGACTAAGTGACATCTGACATTTGCCCACACACGAGTACAGCGCAAATTGCTACGACCAAGGTGGCTGTTGCCTTCGCTGCCGCGGCTCCTGCAAGCACACGAGCCTATCCATCAACTCCACCTCATCCCAATTCCCGATTCCACCTAGATTCAACTACATACGAGCCACAGCACCTCGCCCTCCTCGCCTCCTCTGACCCCTCACATCCGCCATCATGCCGTCGGTGATAAGCGACGACGACAAGGAGACTGTCAAGCGCTTTGTACCCAAGCAGACGAACAAGATTCAGGCTGTAGCCATCGCCAGACTATACGTTGCGTACCCGAATCCTGCAAAATGGACCAACACAGGTATACAGGGTGCTATTGTCCTGTCGAATGACCTCGTGGGCAACACGTACTGGCTGAAGATGGTGGATATATCGGTAAGTTGTGCTTTCTGAACTAGTGCATTCCGACCTGACATCGATGCAGTCCGGAAACCGCGGTGTCATTTGGGATCAGGAAATATTCGACAACTGGAACTACAACCAAGACCGTACCTTCTTCCACAGTTTCGAAATCGAGGAATGTCTCGCTGGTCTGTCCTTTGTCGACGAGAAGGAAGCGAAACAGTTCAAAAAGAAGATGGACGACAGAGAAAAAAACGCAAGCAAAGCCACGAGATCGACTCCGTTCGGAGGGGCTGCCCAATCTTCAGGACACAAACATGGCTTGCTTGGAGGTCTCTTCGGCAGCCGACACGCCTCAGCTCCTACCCCTCCAGACTCTCCGCGATCGAACTTGCCCCACGGTCGAATGCCATCCTTGGGGGTGCCAACGGCCACACCCCTCGGAATTCGCTGTTCTTGATGCTTTCGATCCTCAATGGCGGGAGAATTTCGGACAAGACCTACGAGACAAGGGTTTGACGGACGACTTCATCAAGGAGAACCAGGAGTTCATTGTCGAATTCTTGAAAGAAGAGCAAGAGAAGCTGATGGCTGGTGCCCGAAACCATGCCCCTCCTCCCCCTCCCCCCCTCCAGCATCCTATTCGAATGGCATCGAACCTCGAAACTCGCGCGCCCCTCCACCGCCGCCGCCTTCAGGTGGAGGGCATTCGGACAGTCCACGGGTACCGCCCCCTCCGCCTGCACCCAGACGTGGCGCTGCACCTGCTCCTCCACCAGCTAGAAGATCCGGCAAAACAGAGCCGCCCGCTGTCAACAGAGAACCGACACCGCCGAGCGAGCCTGCTGTACCGGAGGCTCCAAGGAACCGATTTGCTGTGCCGCCGCCGTTACCAGATGCCGGCAAGCTTGCCCATTCTCTGGGGGGTTCGATTAACTCTATTCGCGGGTCCGTAAATTCCGGGCCGCCTCCCCCACCTCGACCGCCGAAAACGCCAATGCAAGAAGAGGAGAGGCCTGTCGGCCACCGTTTTGGAGTACCGCCGGCTTTCTCTGGATCTCGCCAGCCCCCGCCCACCCCGAGCCGGGGGTCCGTTCCGCCGCCGCCTCCTCCCCGTGCAGATGTTGGCCCCCCACTCCCCCGAAAGCTCCAGCATCCGAGGCGCCTCCGTTGCCGCCACCATCTTCACGACCTGTGCCGCCGCCTCCCGCGACTGGCAATCCTCCGCCTCCGCCTCCGTTACCGTCATCGAGCGCCCCCCCGCCACCTCCTCTACCCAGCTCTCCGCCGCCTTTGCCAACATCAAACGCACCTCCTCCGCCACCGTTGCCGTCATCGAACGCTCCTCCAGCACCCCCTCCGGCACCACCTTTGCCGCCATCGTCCAACGCACCCCCAGCCCCACCTCCACCGCCTCCCGGAATGGGTGTTCCTCCCCCGCCACCTCCTCCACCCCCGGGTGCCTTGGGCGGTCCTCCCCCCCCTCCTCCCATGCCCAACAGAGACTCTGGCTACTCATCAGGCGTCCCAGTGCCTGCTCCAGATTCTTCGCGCTCGGCCGTGCTAGGCGACATTCAGAAGGCTGGCGGTATCAAAGCTTTGAAGAAGGTCGATAGAAGCCAGATTCGTGACAGAAGTGCCGCGACCGTTGGTGGCAGCAGCGACACGGGGCCGCATGGTAGTGGCTTGCCTCCGAGTGGAGTCGCGCCGGGTGGTGGTGGTGGTGACATGGCCAACGCACTGGCCGCTGCATTGCAAAAGAGAAAGGAGAAGGTCAGCAGAAGCGGTAAGTCAAGGCCAAACCCGTATTTGTTGTTTTTGAAGCTCATGTGTGGACAGATGACGAACGAAGTGACAACGACGACTGGTAAAGCATCTGAGGATCCATGGGTAATGGAAATGGCAGAAAGAACCGACAGGCAAGGCTTGGTATTATCGCTACGCCTTGTCGAAATTACAAACCAAATTATCATACCTTCGACCTGTTATTCCAAGCGACAGCTGCATACTTGGGGACCGGGTGGACTGGTTTCATTGGCTGGCTGATGTATTCTCCGTTTGAATCGTCCCTGGATGACGGAGGCGTCGGCTGAATGGTAGCATTCAATGGATGACGAGTCGGTAGACATGGCCGGATGGGTGTAAAGAGTGTGGAATCAAACAATATTCACAACTGTCCATATAAAACACAGGGTTACTTTGATATATCATATCATAAGAGTTATGCAGTATTCAAAGGGCGTTTGGTAACTTTGAGGAACGTGGTCCAAGACCCCGTGCCAAGCGTATTCAATTAATGAGGCGCAATCAAAAGTAAGTCTATCGTCCAGATGATCCGACGAGCCATGACGTCTCTCCCACCATGGCCGTCCAACGCACCACCCCGAACACCTTGACTGTCGCGGAACCCAGCAGTCGACAGTGACGACGGTCGCCGGATTTGAGAGAGAAGACAGCGTTCCTACCCTCGGCCTTGCAGCAGAAGACGATCTATTGAGAGATGGGAAGGGTTCGGGGCTTTCTCGAGACACGCGCGAGCGAGGGAGGAAAAAGGTAACGGACATGAGGCAACACATTTTAGATGTCGTCAATGTCGACATCCTTCTTGCCGCTTGCGCCACCAGCAGCCTCGTCCTCGGACTCCTCGGAATCGCGGTCGTCGTCGAACTCGAAGTTGCAATCGCCGTCGCCATCGGCGCCGTACGTGTCCGTCTCGTTGATCTTTGCGGACTCGGGCAGCTCGCCGTAGGCCTTGAGGGAACGGGCCTCGTCGGCGGTGTACTTGAGAATGACGTCGCCCTTATCGTCCTGATACTCACGCAGGGAGAGCAGGATGATGTCTCCCTGGTTGATCCAGACCTTCTTGCGGAGCTTGCCGCGGATGTTGGCGAGGCGCTTGACGCCGTCAAAACATTGGGCCTCGAGGCGGCCGTTACCGAGCATCTTTACGACCTGGGCGTATTCTGTTTGATGGGGGTTAGCCTGATGTGTGAAGAAGGGAAATCGAGCGGCGGTGGAATGTCGCGTGAATTTTCCTCTCCTTGGGGTGATGATGGTTCGAAGAAATCAGGAACTGGTGGGACTAACCTTGGCCATCTTCTTTGAAGGTGAGCTCACGCTTCTCGTGATCGGACTCGTTCTTGCCACGTCTGCGGTTCTTTCCTCCCTGTATGGTTGTTAGACCATTTGATCAAATTCAAAAACCTCCATCATCGACGGCTTCATCATCAAAAGTGTGTCGTGTTTCCAATCAGCAGCAAGGAGGGGGCGGGGTTCTTTGCGGGTCCTCCAACTTGGCAGGGGGAGGGTGTGGTTTTCGCAGCACCCGCTTAGATGGGAAAAATCTTTTGAGGAGCGTCATGTGCAAGAATTTCTAGACTGACCTTTCCCTTGTTCTTGGGCATCTTGGCTACTCGTGAGAATTCCGGTTCTCAGCGGTATGGGATGGAGAGGGGGGTGGCGGAAGTCGAAGTTGTCAAAGTAGGAAGGGGAGAAGAGAGTGGGCGGTATGTTGACGGGGCTTTATTGTGCGCGAGCGCAAAATGGCTTTGGGCTTCTGCGGGTTCTACTGGGCACTTTGCTGCTCGGTGATCTAATGGATGGAACAGGGGTACTATTTTGCCTGTGGGCTGTGCTGGTTAGAAGGGGCGAATGAGGCTGGCCTTTTGTGCGCAGAAAGTGGTGCCGGTATGAGTCAAGTGGGTGTGACACTAGGTACAATCACTAGGTAGGTCCTAACGGAGAATGATGTATGTACTTAAATGTGTGGCTTGTCCAGTAGGGTGTGGAGTAAGCAAAGCCACAGACAGTGACAAGAGCACAGCTTGTAAACCACCTAAGGTACCTGTGATTCGTAGCGAGAGACCCGTAATGGTGTGTGTGTGGTCTGGAGTATCGAGGGGACGTACCTAGCCAGGTAAGTACGGATATCGGGAGAGCTTCGACCTCGGTATTTGTCCGCATCGCTCCCTTTTTGACCCAAATCTACCTACCCACGAAGGTCGCTACGGCTGTTGACATGCCAAACTAGGCGCTTTTTATCAGTCGCCTGTCTTTTGCCTCCAAGCTATGGCTGCTCGCGAGCCGCCAGCAGCAACATCGTCATGAACCCGACGCGACTCCAACATGTGACTCACATCCTTCGGCAGCTGCCACAGCGCAACACTTTCCCACCACTCGCCCGCTACTCCAGCTCAAGGCGCAAAGCTTCAGGGCAGACGGCCGGTACTAGCACCGAACTATCCAAAGCAGTTGAATTCAACAAGCTCCGAAGCCTAGACAACCTCGAGAAGGTGCAACTGTCGCCGCACTGGACGAAGATCTTTGATGAGCTCGATATTGGGACACCCGCCAAAGACTACCGAATCATATACCTTCCGCGCGATGTGAAGGCAAAACATCTGACTCGGTTCAGAATATCGAAGCGACACGTGATGAGAGCCTTCGACATGGACTACTTTACGGAGAACAAGTACGAGCACCCGAAGACAGTTCTGATGAGGTACTACTACGAGGAATACAAGAAGAACAAACCTTTATGGCTGTGGTTTTATGGCTTCAGTTCGATCGACACACCGGCCGTCGTAAGCTTGGCCAAGTATCGAATGAGGCTTGCGCTCCACGCTGCCCTCAAGGACCGTGGCTATGACGCGCAGGGTCGGATAATCGACCCCGAAAGCGAGACGGGGATAGGCACCACTCTTCGTGGTGACCTGAAAGGGACGATCGCATGCGTCGCCAAATATCCCAGGGATGTCGTCAAAAAGCTGCCGAAGAAGGAACTTCGCCTTGCGATGGACGCCGTCGTAGACGTCTTCATTCGCATCCACGAGACAGATCAGATGAAGGAGAAAGAAAAAACGACAGTCAAACCGTCAAGGAACACATTTTGGCAGAAATTGCGTCCAGGGGAGACGGAAGTACAAAGCAGGAATACTTCATGAGAGGACACTTAGGGCGCAAACAGAGGCGGAGTTCGCCGGCTTTAGGATCACGCCGGAAATGAGCATTTGCCGATGGGAACGGCCCTGGACTATAAGGAGATGCCAACCATGCTTATGGATATGTAGAAGGCTCCCCGACTATCAAAGGCTTCGAGCCACTGTAACAAGACACAAGTGATACCCATATATAGAAGAATTGGCCTCACCACCTAGGGACTATGTTCTGACTTCTCTGAGGATGACAAAGTCAAGTGTAGCAGCGTCCGCAGCGTAGTGTCTAAAGGGTGCCTGTCAACCGAAGGAGGTGATCATAAACACTTAGAAGATGCCCTCAGGGGATGGGTTATTAGACATGATGACTACCGGGTGATGTGCACCTCCATTGAGAACACGCTCGAGTAGGTTTGCTATGGATCGTGTTCCGGGATGCGAGCCACGTACTCTTCCCAGACAGGCTGTTGTTATTTGTTCGCTAAGCTATCATCTGCAGGCTTGGGGTTGTCTTCATCTCGATGGCTATGGTCCCTCGCCCTCTTCGAGGTGAGAGTTGAGGCGAAGGTGAGGAGGGTATAGGTGGGTGATGATCGTACGAGTGACAGAAGACGACAACGACAGCGTGGTTTCCTTGAGCAGCTTGGAAAAGCGAGGGCGGTACTAGTGTGTGATGAATGGCATTCTAAGAAAGAGAAGGAAGACGGCTTTGGGGGCATCGACAATACGAACGGCCACTCAATCTTTACAAGCACCTATGAGAGAGTCCTTGTAACGGCTATTAATAAAGAAGTCAACTGTTAGATTTGGCTAGTTAATAGTACTCCATGCAAAGTGATAAGTGCCCGGTGAAGCACAGGGCAGGGCGGTACGTACCTGAGCACACTCTTTGTGTGCCCGCTCTGTTCCTGAGCCAATGCTTGGAGTTGTTGGCGACGAATCACATCGCTAGCGCAGAGCTGTCAGCCGAGACGTTTGGAGCTGCCAACCTAGCAATCAACAGTGACTGTCGTTGCACCTCTAAACCAGTATATGTGTCTCGCCTACATGCACACCTGACTGCCACCCTTCAGCCAACTGAAGCGAATACGAGCCGGACACCACCAGCGAAGAACGGACTGGATATCGACGGTTGGGCGATCTAGGCAATTGACCGCTTGGCTCGGCACAGAAACATCGCACGCCACCAAGACGATAAACACACTCAGCACCAGCAATCACAGCCCACTATGCTCGTCTCCCTAACCGTCGGCAAGGTTGACGCCGGCGTCACTGTGCTTCTGACGCCGGACAAGCGCCTAGTACGTTGTCCATGATGCACGTCTGATGATAACGATGGATAAGGGGGCCTCTCCCTAGGAGACACCTCCCCGGCCTCGATGCCCATCCACCAAGCTTATCTTCACCTCCCCTTGACGCTCCATACTGACGATACCCTCCAGATCGAGTTCCCTTCTATCCTCCTACCCCCCAATATCTCCTCCGGTAGCATCGTCGACATCACTGTCGCTCGCAACCTGGGTTCAGAGGCAAAGACAGAACATGCCTTCCGCGAGCTTCAGGACCGCATCTACTCCGCTTTCGGGGCCAGCGCGCCCGCGATTCCCATCCTTCGCTGCCGCAACGCGACGCAGACCTCCGTCGTCCTCGAGTGGGACCCGATCGAGCTCGCGACTGCCGACCTCATCTCCCTCTCCCTATACCGCAATGGTCAAAAGGCCGGCAGCATCCCCCGCCCGCTGCAGATGCACAGCACCAAGATCAGTGGCCTCGCCGTCGACACGGAGTATACGTTCCATCTTATTCTGCGCACCACGGCCGGTACCTTCAGCTCCGACAAGGTCGTCGTGCGTACCCACAAGATGACGGACCTTAGTGGCATCACTATCACCACGGGCATCATGCCTGCCGCCACGAAAGAGGCGCTGGCCTCCGCCGTCGACCGCATCGGCGCCAAGATCGTCGACAGCGTCCGTATCGATACAACACACTTCGTCACCACCGAAGGCCGCGGGCTGGCATGGGAGAAGGCCGTCGAGACAAACATCCCTGTCGTCCGGCCCGAGTGGGTTGAGGCGTGCGAGAAGAACGGCCGTATCCTCGGTGTTACCAAGTTCTACCTTGACGCCCTCAGGCCCGGCCCCTCGAGCGATGAGCTGCAGCAAGCGCCGACTCCGCCCCAACCGCAGCAGACCCCTCAGATGCAGAAGGAGCTACCGACCCCCCCTGCTGTCAACACGTCAGAGAACGACTACGAGGTGGCCGCCACGTCTGCCAAGTCCCCCGAAGGGGAGAGCGAGAAGCCTGCATCCAAGGCGGAGGACGCTGAATCTACCGGCGACGAGGAGAAGGAAGCAGAGCAGAAGAGGATCGCAGACCAAGAGGAGCAGAAGGTGCGACTGGAGGACAAGGACGAGCAGAACCTCGCTTATCGGTCAAAGGCGGAGTCGGATTCGGGCAGCGAGGATGGCAGAGGAGAAGAAGACAACCCAAGCAAGAAGCAGAAGACTGGCACCTCCCCTGACGGAGCATCCTTCCAGGACGTAGCCTTGTAAGTCGGGCGGTGTAAGAATAAAGGTGTTTGCGGTTCCTTTCACAGCACGGAGTTACGTAGATGTTTCGTGTCCAGTGTACGACTACCCATTTCTTCACGACACATATAGACAGTTATCATGGAACGATGATGCCAACGTTTCATTACTTTCCATGATACCCGCCTCTGATAAGCCGGCGCCGCCAGTGTTCACGAGGGGTTGGCCACCTTTTTCAGGGTAGCGTTTTGAAGCCTCCTATTTGTACAAGTCCCTCCCCGTCGTACTGAACGGAGGGGGTCCTCATGGCAAGATCTCCTTGCCCTGCCAGTCCCAAAACTGGCCTCGTCCCTCGACCCCGACCTCCTCCGTCAAAACCTTGCACATCCTCTCCACCGCAAACTCGGGCTCGAACAGCTTCTCCTTGGGCACCGTGTTCCAGAAGGCCTCGGAGAGCCCCGTCTTGACGGTCCCCGGGTGGTACGCGACGGAGATGGCCTTATCGCCGCTGCGGGCGCGGAGCCACAGGTCCAGCGACTTGGCCAGGGACGTGACGCCGGCCTTGGAGGCGCGGTAAGAGTACCACCCGCCCTTGTGGTTATCCGAGGTCGACCCCACGCGCGCCGACATGGCGGCCCAGACGGCGTGGCCCGGCGGCAGGCCCCTGGCGTCACCGGATGACGACGAGGGGCCGAGGAGGTCGGCGGACCGGCGGGGGAGGAAGGGGGAGAAGTGCTTCATCAGCATCATCTGGCCCAGCGTGTTGACGCGGAAGGTCTCGAGCGCCCTGTCGTACTCGACCTGCGCCGGGCTCTTCTCCGGGTGCAGGATCCCCGGGATCGCGAGGGCCAGCCGGAGATGGTGCGTGGCGTCGGGGAACAGGACGCGCGCCTCGGCGGCGGCGGCGGCGACGGTGGCCTCGTCCGTGACGTCGAGCCTCACGACCTTGAGGCGGGAGGCGAGGTCCTCCGTTTCCACGGCGGGAAGGGCGAGGAGGTCGAGGAGGTGGTGCTTGGCCGACGTGGTGTCGGGCGAGCGGCACGTCGCGAGGACCGGCGCGGCAGTCGTCCGGAGGAGGTGCCCGACCAGGTGGGCGCCGATGCCGCGGGATGCGGGGGAGACGAGGATCCAGGGGCTGGACATGACCCCTTTTTCTCTTCTTCTCCTCTTTTCTTGCCTGATCCCTTGTACACAATTTTGGGGATCCGGGGGTTCAGAACGTGGATAGCAGTGCTTGGCTCATGGGCAGCTAGTGTTGTCGTCGCTGGCGGCTCACCCGGGGTGGCATGCAGAAGACTGTTTGGATACGGAACGGAATGAAGCTGGATGAAGAACAAGGACCCAATCACATCGAACGGAACATGTACGCACAATGTTCAGACCAGTATTAACTTAACTACTCACCAGACAGAAGACGCGGCTGTCGAGCTGAGTTTTCTCCACAGTCCTCAGTCAAAGACATCATGACTTTGGAATGATGGAGAAGAGCCCACTGCGACGCACCACTTCCCCCTCCCAAGTCTTTGGAGGGAAAGCAGGGGGTGTCGACGACGTCATTGGCTGAAGCTTCGCCCGGCTACAGGATTCCTTTGTCGCCTTCACACACACACACACTAATTACAATTCACACGCATTGGTCAGTTTGGGTTGTTAATACTACTGAGGCTCTAGGGCGATCGCATCTCACCTCCCGCCTTGTTTTGACTCACATGAATGCATCTGCTTTCTGCACCTCAAGTACTTGCGGTAAGCACATTTTTTGTTGAAATGATGTTCTATTCATTGCCGACGCATGAGCAGCGCAGAATGCTCATTCATCTCACTACATGGAAACAGAACAATACTCGATTTTGAGTACTGGGTATACGCACATCAATACAGACTTTACAGGCCTCGCGTTCCAGCCTCGACAAAGGAAATCCGCCCCCATACTAGACAGTTCATAAAACGCCATGTCTGCTCATAGAGACCACAACTTTGTTCTGCGATTGACGGCCGGCACCCCCAAATATCAAATAAAAAAAGAAAGAGGTGAAGAAAAAAAAAAAAGAAAAAAAAAAGCATCAGACAGCAAAGAGTGAAGGAAGAGTAAACCCGTCTCACGCTAAACAATGGCGTAGCTATAGTCGCCAACCTGCGACGTCTCCGTCCTCTCCGTCCGCGTCGTCTCCAAGCTCACCCTCGCCGCCAGCTGCAGCTCCCGAATGAGAGGGTCCATGGCGTCCAGCCCGCCGCGCGTGGTCATTGGTGTCGACATCACGGCTTGGAACCTGCTGCCTCGGACCATGCGCGGCGTGTCATGCGACATCGACGGCTCCCTCGGCACCTGTTGATGCTGCTGAGGCTGCCGTGGCTCGACAAAGTCGCCGGCAAAATCATCAAATACACCCGCGACGTCCATGACCCGGCGGGAAGAGTGGCGCGGACCAGGCTGGTATTGCTGCAGTGGACGGTTGGGGGTGTTGAGCCGGACGGTTTTGCGGGCGCGCATCTCGTGCCTCGGGTCCCGGCTGATGCGCAGCCCCTCGTAGATGTTGTCCTCATCGTCGTTGAGGGTCCAGTCTTGCGGGTGAGGGTCCAGGTGGGGGTCCTCGGGTAGGCTCTGGAGCTCGCTCATGCACTTTTGAAGGCGTTCGATGAAGAGAATCTGGTTGCGCTCCTGCCGGTGCATGCGCATTTCGAGACGTTCCTGATTCAAGAGCATCTCGTGCGCGAGATCGTTGACACGCGTGCTGCGGAGGCTGGCGTAGTGGTTGCGGAGCTCACGAGACGACATGTTTGCGATGCCAACGGAGTCTTCCTCATTCGAACGGTTTGGGGGACGCAAGGCCGTTGTCCCTCCTGTGTTGCCGTCGACGGGGGCAGGTTCTCTTCGATTGTTACCGTTGGTTTGCCTCTGGTCTCTAGAAGCATCAGGCTGGGCCATGTTCGGGTTGCCGGCGGTGGGCAGGTGAGCCACCGGCATCGAACTCCGTCGCGGTGTCAGGTCATCGGCGAAGGGCGGATAGGAAAGCTCAACCACGGTCATGGGCGAGTTGAGAGCCGAATCCGACCATCTCTCGTCGAGTGGCGCCGAAGGTACCACCTCAGCCACGGGCATGATAGCGCTCAAGCGAGGGCCAGCGCCGGAACCAGGTTTGGGGAACGCCGCGATGCTGCCCGCGATGGACTGGTCATCATCGACAGGGTCTATATGCGCCGGATTGCCAGGGCCACGGGAGCTGAAGCTGTCCAAGTAGGGCTGATCCGCATCCGCCTGTGATGGTGTGACAGAGTCGGCTCGTGACTTCGGAGCTCGGCGTGGGGGCAAGTGGCTGCCGTCCGCCTCCACGACCTGTGTCGTGCTCTCGTCGGACGGTGCAAAGCTTCCTATCCGATCCAAAAGCGGTACTGAGCTAGCCCAGCTGGCGCGGTGAAGGCTCCCCCACCGACGGGGAGGCTCGGAGCTCAGGGTGCTGTCCCTGGCATCACCGTTGCCAAAGGTTCTAGTGCTGGCGGCGGCCGAGATTACCTGGTCCTCCGTCATCTCAACCAGAATTGGCGTCTTTTCCCAGTCTATCGCCGGCGTTTCTTGAGCAGTCTCCCAGCCGGGCGTTAGCTCCTCTCGCGCTGTCTCCCATCCTGGTGTCTCTGGTTCTTGCGTGGCCTGCCAGTCCGATATCTTGGTTGCGGTGCCATGGGAAACGCGATGCGACGACTTTTTATGGGACTTTGCCATGTTGGCCAAGTTCGTGGCGGAAAGCTTCGTCTCAATTTCATGAAGCGAGAAGTGATCGTTGCAGCCAAAGGTTCCGTCACGAGAAGGCAGACGCAGAGAACTGATAGCCGTGTCGCAGGTCCTCGGCCTCGGAGTCACCTCGCCATCCTCCTCCTGCGACACCTGTTTTGTAATAGATTTGAGAGCCTCCATGTCCCGCTGCTTGATAGACCTGACGCGCTCTCTGCGACTCTGTCTTGAGGAAGCGGTTCTTGTAGAGGCATTCCGAGACGCGACGGACTCGCCGACCAGGGTTGTCTGCGCCGTATCACTGCTTCCCGGCCGGGCAAGGCATGATTGTCTAGGCGTCGTCGACGGCATCTCAGGGCGTACTATGGAAACCATCGAGTAAGCCTTCGCGGACCGCGCGCTTGAAACCACCGGCTCAGATAGCTCTGTGGTAACACTCGGACTAATGGAGTTCGACTCTGAGTAGGTAGTCGGGCTCAACTGGGGGACATCCGATGCCACGCCTTGGTGTTGAGCGTTGCGATCATTACTGCCGCCAATCAAGTGTTGGCTGTTTAGGATTTGGTCTACTTGAGGGCTAGATATCTTTGTGCTCGACCTGCGTGGAGACAGAGTAATATTTTCGGGACGTTTATGAGACGACTTGACTTTCGGTTTTCGCGCGTTTGGGATTGCCACCTGGGCGAGGTAACCCTCGTCGCTGCCGAGGTGATGGCCCTTGTCGAGACTGCCGCCTAGCCTTCTGCGTGTCGAAACAGGATCTGCAGGAATCTCGGCATACTGCAACGCGGCTAGAGGTATCCGGTTGTGTTTGTCCTTGCTCGAAGAAGACTCACGTAGACTTCCGGGCGGCGTAGTGTAAGGTGTCATGGGCGGGCTCATAGGATTTGGGGTGATCTTGGGCCAGATAGACACTGAGCCCTTGGTTCCCATTCTGGTGCTTATCGTGTTGACAGTGTTGATGGTTGAGATAGACCCCTTCTCGCTAACAGTCTTGAGGACAGTAACTTTACGCTCACTAGCATAAGGCCTGACGGCGGCGTTGTCGGTTTCATCATCGCTCTTTCGCGCCGGAGGGCTTGGTGGAAGCGGCGGCGTGGCATTGAAGATGGCGAGAGCCCAATCGGAATCCGGGCCTACGTGGCAATACTCCAACGGAATGGAAATTGCGATATGCGACTTGCCGCTGCTTGTCTTGGACACAACGGCAGAGTTAGGCAGGCCTGCGTTCAGAGGTCGACGGGCAGGCGACAAAGACCTGGCCCTTGTGCGCGGGCGACGCAGCTTCTTGAGAAGTCTCCACTTCTCTGGTAGTTCCTGTAATTCGTTGGTGTCCTCATCGAAGACAGACTGTGAAGGGAAGCCTGACGGCGGAGAAGTGGTTCTGAGGAAGTCGATGAGGTCCGCTAGACCCTGTCTGTCGTTGTTCTCCCGGGCTCTTGCGCGGACAGCACCCCATTCCGAGTCACAGTCCATCATGTCCATCCCTTCGAGAGTCTGGGCGAAGAGGTCGTTGGACGAGCGTGCCGTGCGAGGGTAGAAACGCCTGTCAAAGTCACTGTCGAGACTGTCAAAGGTGCCTCGGCGACCCGGAGTAAGGTTCAGATCAAGCCGTGGCGGACCCGACTCTGATGAGACTACCACGACCTCGTTGCGTCCGTTGACGTGTTCGGAAAATATCATTTCGTCAGACGGTCAAAAGGCTTCAGTGGTGTAAATGGAGTTGATTTGGAGGGGAGCGTGCCCATGGGGAAAGAGCGGAAATGGAGCGAGATTTCGTATGTGCGTAAGGTGCTTTGAATAGGTTTGCGTGATGATGGTAGAACTCCTGGGCAGACAACTTGCCTGCGGCGCAGCAAGCAAATCTGAGCAACACGGGGTCGCTCGGCGACACCCTCGTGGAAGAAAGTGGAATGATGGTCACGTAATTGAAACGAGAAGGTAGATCAGAGATCGGAATGTTCCGCCCGGGGGGGGGGGGGGGGATTGGGAAGAAACAACGAAGTCGATTCATCAACTCCCAAGAGGCAATGGAAAGGGGAGAGAGGCATAGAGGGGGGAGGGCTGTAGAAGACGAAAGGAAAGAGGGGAGACCACAATATCAGAGGCCGTGCAACAGCATTCGGATCATTTGCCACTCTTCTTTGAGGGTCAAGCCGTGGACGGGCGGGATCGATATATGTTCTTATCCCTCAGGGCGACCGTTGGAACGAACAGACTGGAGAGGAGGTAGAGGGCGTCAGATGCCAGCGGTAGAAGCGTCAAACCCCTCGAGGGGAGGCGTCCGTGCAAAAAAAAGGGAAAAAAAAAGTATGAGAACGAGTGCTAGCGGCTTCGAGACCAACGCTTTGGCCAGACTCTTCGGTTGACCTCTCTTGTCTGTAAGACCAGGTGGTGAGTGACCAAGGGAAGAAGAACGTGGGCGGCGCGCAACGGTTGGGGGAGGGGAGGGGTGCAGGAAGCCTCAGAACAGAGATCAAGGGAGAAGGCGGAGCTTTAGATTGTTGTCTAGGAGCCGCTTGGTGGGCGTGGCGCTGAGACTCAAGTTCAGGATGGATTGTCTACGAAATACGATTTTTTTTTTCTTTTTCTTCCTTTTGGTGCTGAATGCCCATCTCGGGGTGCCCAGAGACAGACTTCCGACAGCCGGGAGCATGAACAAGGCGTGACGAAGGCAAAGGAAGGAGGCCAAAAGAAGAAGAACCAGTTGACAGCGCCACGATAAGGCCAGCCATGATATATTCCTTCTACCGGCGCCTTGTAACCGGATGGTCCACCAGCTAAAGGCGTGTGGTGCACCCAATGTGTGCCACTTGGCACCATACAGAAAATGCTCGGGCGAAGAGAGAGAAGGCTGGCTTCTTTTCCTTCATCTTCATCTTCTTCTCTTTGCCAGTGGTCCGGAGCAAGATTTACAACAAGTAACGGACAGTAGACAGCAGGCCAACATGGATGGCTCCCCTCAGTACCTACACTAGATAGGTGGGAAGGTACCCAAGAAGCAAGGCGAAGTGAAAGAGGGCCTGTCAAAATGGCAGGCGGACCGGTGGGAGAGAAGAAACGACGGTCATAGCCTTTGGCGTGCATACAGTAGGACAGGGGTCTGATCCGTCACCCGTTCTCTCGGTTAAGGGGAGACCGGTCTTCCAATGCCCAATGCTCAATGCTCAAGGATGAGCAGAGCAACACGACAGGGTCCGGAAAGGACCGCCGAGGGAAACGGGAGGTCGCTCAGGCAGGACCGGACGTTTCCCGGACGCTGGACAACCCCAGCAAGGGACAGATACAATGTACTGAGTACCGTATCCTCTCAGCAGATGTGAAATCCGCACGGGCCACACGCTAGTCCCATTATAACAGGCGGTCAACCTACCTACACACACACCCACCCATATAACCCTAACCCTTGCCACCTACCTGCTGCTGACGTAAATGAATTCCTGTATTTGCCACATCTAGATCCCTGTTTCTGCCAGCCCGCTTACCCCTTTCCAGCAGCCCGTGGCCCGTGCGGATTTCACATTTGCTGAGAGGATACGGTAGGTAGTCTACACCACCAGATGCGCGGTAGGGATACGATGGCATGTGCGTACCCAGGCATTCTGCCAGTGTCTGTGTACCCTACCTTGTACCCTACCTCCTCCTTCTCTCTTTCTCTCTCAGCGTGTATACGACGGAGTGTATACGATTGACAGGTTGGCTGTCGAATGAGATGACAGGCGGGAGGGAGAGTGAGAGAATTCCTTAGAGTGATTGTGTTTCTCGAATGTCTCTCATTCTTGTCTACCTGCATCACACCTCGGGGAGCAGCGTCCGTGTCCCAATGTTTTATCAAGGGGAGGACTAGGGGGCACAAAGTGTTTGGCGACGCTCTCAGCCCTGCGCTCCCCCTTCTTTTTTTATTGCTTCCTTCGTCTGTACGATTTGTCCTTGCCGTCATCGCCCATATGTTCTTGTCGTCGACAAACCATATTGATTGGCCAGAGGGACTGAATTCTTTGTTCCGAGCAACACAAGACGAAGGAAGAGGAAAGGGGGGCAACAGCGATGCAATCTGACTATCACAAGTTAGCAGGAAACGGGTTGGTGGCAGACGATCCACTACCAGTACCTGTCGCTTGCTTGTTTCTTGGGGCCGTGTGCATGCATGTGTGATGTACATGCAGCTTGTACCTAGGTAGATAGGTAGACAAGGTATATGTTTGTATCTGAGGAAACTGCCGACCTCGGGTACCTGTAATCACCACTGGTACAACCTGATATCGGCTGGAGATGCCCTCACGAGGAAACGCCCGCCGCCGTGTGGTACTCAGCAGAGTGAGTGTCTCTCGATTTGTAAACACGACCGATATCGAGCATGAGAAACCTCCGGCCAGGCAACGAGATGTTGTTGCAACCGACCCTTTCCCACAGAACCTACAACACATGCCAAGATAATGCGGTGCTTTACCAACTCCGGCTGGCAACGAGCTCCTATTCATTCAGCTGATTCTCATGGCGAGCACAGCCTCAACGGACGAGCACTCCCGCCAAAAGCCCGATATAATACCCCCCGTACGTATGCTTGATTATGTGCAGGCACGAACCACTGCAATGCAACGCAATGTGTGTAATAGCCTAATAAGCGGTCCCCCCAGTGTCACGCTGCCAACTGCGGCAGATCGGCTCTGCATCTCGGGCGATCCGTGTACAAACAACCATGGTCCATCACGCACCCAGGTGTACTGTACGTCCCTCTCGCTAAACTTATCCCAGCATCTTCATATCTGCATGTGGTCTCCATTCTTCGTACGCGTGTAAACTAAGCAGCTTCTACGACTGTGTATGGTTGATATTTTGTCTAGGTACTTGTGCGACACTATGGGGGACCGCTTCATTTAGTATCTGCACCTTAGTAAACTAAGCAACCTTCCCCCCCCCCCGTCCGCTCGCCCCGGAAGCGTCACCCGAGAGCGACCTGCCCCCCCTGCCCTTGTCCATCCACCCCCTGTCCACAGATCCCTCTCCTTCCCAGCTGCACATCCCCAGCATCACTTCCTAATATTGCTTCCAATCATATTGCTCCCAATCGACTTCGTACATCGTCAAGACTGCGTACATCCTTGACATGCCCTGCCGACCCCCGACAACACCCGCATCGATGCCGGGTCGATGCCAGGTACTGTAAGGTAAAGTAAGGTAAACCGAGTTAAGGTAAGGTGGTATGTATCCATAGAAGCGTCCTTACTCCACTGCTAAACCTGCCTGTCTACACTAAACTTTCGGTTTCAACCTCTTTTTCTCTCTCTCCCTCTCTCTCCCCTCCCTTGCTCCGCTCCCAGACTCCCATCCACCTACAATTCATCACAGATACCCTTGTGCGTTACGATCGATCGTGAGCTACCCTAGTCGTCTTACGGGCATCCCCTCTGTAGAGATCTCCTTGCCCTCCGTCAGACCCCGGTCCGCTCAACACTTCCGCTTGGCCCCTCCGTCACTCCTTCCCTTTCATCGCTTCCGGCTAATACTTCCTCCCCATGACAGCCGAAACAGAGACAAACGCCTCAAGAAACAAGAAAAATGCACGCAAGCCCCGCCCGCGCCCCGTATCGATTGCTGTCCGACACGAGCGAGACCTAAACACCCAAGAAGCCCAGTTTGCCTGGGCCAGAAGCATCTTCAATCGCCAAGAGATACACAAGAAGGCGGAGGGCAGATAAACTTTGAGAGAGGCCATGGTCCGCGACCTGGACAGAGAACCACACCCATCCTCTCTCCTCACCCCCGGCAGGGACCCTTGGCCCCCCTCCCCCCCCCCCCGTCTGCCCTTCTATCATCCATCCCATGAATCCATGGTGTAACTCCAGTCCAAACCTGCAGGCGATCGAATGATAGGTGTCTACCCCTCTTGATCGCAATACTCTCCGTGCCATCCCAGTCACTCATCCCCCTCGTCCTTGGCGCCTCGCCGGCGTTCCACATAATGTTTCTCTCTTGCCCAGTGTGCACATCATAGCCTATGCTTCACGGAGTCTCGAGCCACTCAGGGCTACGGCTAGGTCCGACCGGAGGTCTGGAAACCCTCTTCAAGGATAAGAAAACATGAGGCGGACAAGAAAGAAGAGAGAAAGAAAAAAAAGAGTGAGAGCAAGAAGAAGAAAAGACTAGACCCAGACCCCGAGATGAAAAGAAACACGACAGTGGCCCCGGGGCTTGATTCTCCTGTCTCTTGTCTTCGTTGTGGGCGTCGCCAATCCATCCCGCTTCCATTTCCCTTCCCCCGAGGCTTTGCCGCAACGGCGAGACCCTGACGTCTTGTCTTGTCCTCAAGTCTCGAAATCCCGTCCTCGTCATCGTCAAAGACATGCCGCCGAGCTCGCCATGTGGTTTCCCGTTGCCGACCACGTTTCCCCTCCTTTCTTTGTTTCGTCCGGTTGGTCCATTTGCTTTCTTCTTCCCACACACCGCACAAGGTGTTCTTCTGTCGCCAAGCGCGACCCTACGTACACTAGTAGTGAACACAGGCAATAGAAGCCACTCCGGTCCCCGTGCGTAACATTGGCTGCTACTCTACTCGGACACACACATAATACGACCGACGACTTACGCCATAGCCATCAAGCGTCCGGCACCACCAAGAGCTCCTCTACTAACCATATATCTAGCCGTTCCATCCTCCATGGCCCGAACCTGGCTGGCGCACATAAGTGTCAGCCGCCTGTAGTCAATTCCTCCACCACCCGCGCCCGCGCACGACCTGAGTGGTGCGGTTCTGGCAAGCCTTCCCGCCATGGTAGCAAAACCGCCGCCGCCGTAGCCCGAGACTTGCAAAACAACGCTGCCCATTAGCCCCTCGTCTCACCAGCCATCCCGTTCATACGGGGAATACGCATAAGTAAATTTTTGGGCGTCTCTGGCTTCGGTGCACCAAGCCTAAGTGTAAGCGTACAACAGCTAGTTGTAGAAAAAGACCGTCACACCTTTGCCTGCCACTCGTCCTGCCGCACCCTTCCCTCAATCTCTTTCCAGTGGTCAATGACAAGCCACGCAACGCGATTCGTGACGGAACGTGAGCCCCAAAGCGCGTCGCGCTCTCTGCATGTCTCGGATTTCCGGCCGGAACCCGTGCTCCCTCTCCTCGGCCATGATTGAGGCCAAGGGATTGACAACGATAGTCGGCGAGGAGCTTCTCCTACGCTCCCGGACGCTGCTCGGAAGCTCGTATTATACGACCTAATATGTAAGAAGGACAGACAAAAAGGGCGGGGGAGGAGAGAGAGAGAGAGAATGTGTGCCTGTGTGCCTGTGCCTGTGTCTGGGCTAGCCAGACTCGTCATGATCGGTGGTGACTTTCCGCTTTCCCCCCTCGCGCATCGTCGTGGCATTGCATGATCTATCTTCATCGTCCCCCTTTTTTGGAAACCATGACGCACATCCTCTCCAACGTTATAAGCTTTGGGCCTCAAGAAGCCCAGCATCCATCGTCATCTCATCGGGCAGCCCAGGGCCGCTCTCGTACTACTCAGGAAGGGCGAGACATTATCCCCAGCCCCTGCATAACGCAAGTCGCGCCTCTCATCGTCTACATTGTTCGGTCTCACCCTTTCACCACCATGCAGTGCCATGCTACCGCTGCCTTAATCACCCCGTCCTAGCGTTCACACAGCCGCGCAGAGAATCCCATATTCATGCCATGCTGCGGCGATCTACGTCGGCTGCATCTCAGGGCTAGTCCCATGCAGGAAACCAATTTTCCCCTCTCCCACCGTTGCTAGTTCCCCGGCCCCTAGATGCGTCCTGCCTATTGCCTGCGCCGATGCCATCCACGGCTAGACCAAACTCGAGAAGGCAACAACGTCCTTCCGCCCTTTTGCAAGAAGAAAAAACAAACGAAAAAAAAGAGAGAGAGAGATAGGCTGGGTGCTACGCCCTTTGCCTAACTGGACCTGTAACGCCAGGGGCTCGAATGTCCCCTCAGTGATGCAACAGCCTTTGCCCAAGCCCGGTCCTATATCGAGTCTAATCTACAAAATCAATCAACCGTCGTGTTGGAGTTGGCTGGCCCCCTTAGCGTCTGGGAGGCTTTCGCTGAATGAAGGGATCCGCCTTGGGCTTCTTCCTGTGGATGACGGGGCCGTTTTGCCCATTTTGCCCCGGAGCCGGAGGCTAGCAGCAAGTACGTTAGCAGTGTCCCAAAAAGCTCCAAAATCTGGCAATCTTATATCCACTTACTCTAGAGGGTATGTTGCGGTTTTGCGGCAGAGTAGAGCTTGATGGCAACGTCCTCGAAGTCGATGTCGTCTCCATCGCCGGCGGTCGTGCAGCTGGTGTCAGACCGAGGGCTACCATGGCAGACGGGTCCTTCGCCTTCTTCGGCTCCTTCGGCGCGTTGCCCATTGATCTGGGTCCCGTTGGTGGCGGTCTGATGGAAGGTCGGTTCTGCTCGGTCGCCATCTGTAGTTGTCGTGTTAGGCACAAGGGTGGAAACCTTTTTGGTTGCATCTTTGCTTGATTCGTCTTTACATACCCGCTTAGAGCCACGTTGCATATCGTTGGCATCGGACGCTCTCTTCTTGGACTCCTGCTTTGGTGTCGATGACTGGATGACGGGGGGTCGGTCAGAGCTACGGGCGACGGCAGGCTGCAGTTCGCCTCTCTCGTTGAGCTGCTCGATGCGACTGTTGCCCTCCCAACCCGGGCGGCGCTCTGCGTTTATGTGGTTCGTCGGTGGCGGCTGAGGATGCTGGATTGCTTTTCGTGGCAGCGCCGTCGGCGCATCTGTCATGTCAATTTCTTGAGCTTGTGATTGCTCCGGCTTCTCAATGCCAAAGTCGCCCTGCGGCGTAGGTAGCGGCGGCAGTGACTTCATAGCGATGGGCTTCCGCAGCATCGACATGATATCCCCCTTCGTGTAGAGAGATCTCTGCTTCGCGTTATCGATGAGCTTGTTCCAGAACTCACCCTGTACCAATGCTCTTGAATCTCCCAGAATCCACAGAGACGACTTGGCACGGGTCAGACCAACGTTCATACGTCTGATGTCCTTGACAAAACCAATACCGCCGGTAGGATCAGCTCGAACGCAAGAAAAGATGATGATCTCACACTCACGGCCCTGAAAAGCGTCCGTTGTGTTGAACTCAATGTCATCAGTAATGGTCTCTCCAAAATGACGCGAAAACTGCCACTTGAGCTCTTGCAGTTGGGCCTTGTATGGGGTGATGATGCCGATCTTGCCCCGAATATCGTAGATTCGTCCAAAGTCTGCCTTGAACCGTTCGTAGAGCTGCATAGCAACCTTCAACTCCGCGTGGTTCACCAACGAACGGCCCTTGCTGCCCTTCGACTGGGTACCCTCGACATCGAAGAATCGGTACGGGCCAAGGAGGGCGCTAGCATGCCAGGGCTGACAGCGCAGTGCGCTCATGTCCTCGCCATCAACAAGCTTGCCCTCGTAGAATTCCATGCTGGGGAACAGACTGATCTCGGGGTGCATACGGTATTGACGATCGAGAAGGTGGACGTAGTCGGGATGGTTCTGCTGCATGCGGACGAACAAACTCTGATCGTAACCAAATCTGGCAGCAGACTGAGAAAGCACCGTCGGGGGCAACTGCTTCGGGTCTCCAACAAGGATGCACTTGGTGCAGCCGTACTTCAAAGGGATCAAAGCACTGAGCTCCACACATTGCGCAGCCTCATCGATGATGACAGTCTCGAACTCAACATTGAGGTTCTTGAACATCTCGTGGCCACTACCACTGAGCGTGGCGCAGAGGACTTGCGCTCCGTCAAGGATCTCCTGCTGGATCTGTCGTCGGCGAATCTCGGCCTCACGACTTGCAGTGTTGCCGCTTGCCTTATCCTCGTCAATCTTGGCGCCAATGTTGATCTGGGCACGCTTCAACTGATCAAAGGACCGCTGCAAAGCCTGCGATAGGCTTCGGTCGCCAGCCGCGCGGGCTTCGTCCAGTTTGGGTCGAATCTCTGCCAATTCATCCCGGATCTTGGCGGCATCGTTGTGCATCTTGTCTCGTTCCTCCTTTGCCTTGCTCTGCGTGGTGTCGCCTTGAAGCTTCTGTTTGACGAGTTCATCGAGGGTGACATCTCGGACGGCGGCATTGATGGCATCGCTTCTACCCAAACGAAGAACGTTGATCTTGTGGAAAGACCCGTTCATCGTCTTTACACCCTGTTTCAGGCGCAAGACAAGCTCGTCCACAGCGGCGTTACTGGGAGCGCAGACCAGAAGCTTCTTCGGCATGGCGTTCTGGCCTGCCTGGCCCACAAGTTTAGGCTTGATGGCTGTTCCCGGAGGTTGAATGTTACCCGTGAGCAGCGAGCCAACCATAGCTATAATGGTCTTCGTTTTGCCCGTACCAGGAGGACTACAATGTGTTAGCACTGAAAATAGGAAGGGGATGTCTGTTTATTCTTACCCTTGAATCAAGGTAAAGCCATCATTGTCTCTGGCACCAAGAATCGCCTTGGCTTGACCAGGATTCAACTGGTAATTCTGCATGACGCCATTGACAGCCTCCTCGCCGTATTTCAAGATAGGTGAAGGTTCGGCTTTGAGGACTTCAAGCATGAGGTCGTAGTACTGCAAACTCTCCAGAGCCGCGTACTCTCGTTCAATGGTCGTCATGTTAGTGATCTTTACGGCTTGTAGTTCAGAGCCAACACCCAGGACATTGGTAGCAAGCAGGGGATTATTCTTGCTGTTCAGGCGGTATGTCACTTCCAGCCTTTCTTTCTTGTAGGTGGTTTTCCAGATTCGCGCCAAAGCATGGGCTTCAGAGCTGTCCGTGAGCGGGCTATTTCCTTTGGACACGAGAACGATGTCACCCTCTGACAGCATTCTCTCTTTATTCTCAGCGCTGGGAATGCTGGCAGTCACTTCAAGGAATTTATCAACGTTCATACGAGAGGCAATCTTGAGGCCATAGGGTTTGGATGTTGTCTCATCCTTGGCAGTCACGAAAGATCTCCATGCTTCGGATATCAAGAGGCCCAAGAAGGTCTGCTTGTACTCCCCGGGGTGGGCGTACGTGCTTGCAACCCGTGTAATGGCCAAGGAGGCTGAGGTCGATGGTGGGTCATTGCCCTCATGGAAGATGTCCCATTCCAAGATGGCCTGGTGGAGCTGGTCCATCGGCGGGATCAAACGAGCACGCATGTCTTTGGCCGAGCGTTGTACCTTTACCTTCTTGACTGGGCCACGGGTCTTCTCGAGCAGCGCTCGTTCACGACGCCTTCTGGCTTCGTCAACGGCCTTCTGACCCTGCTGGCCCTTGTTGATAAGGTTGTCGAGATCCTCATCCTCAGAGTCATCCTCTTCTTCCTCGTCACTGTCGACCAAAATTTGACTCTTCTGCGGTGCGAGATCTTTCCCGACGACACCACTGAGGCCCTTTAGCCCTGAACCCTCGCCGACGTTGGCAGCATCTCTGAGAGCCTGTGCTTTCTTGACCATATCGGCATCTCTCTTGGCACGTTCCAACTTTGCCTTCTTTCGCGACTCGATGAGCGCGTTTTTCGAGGCTTGCGAAACTACGGGCTCAAGTCTAGGCTTCGGTGGCGGCAGTTTGGACACGCTTGAGAGGGGGGACGCCTTCTGCCGAGAAGCCATCTGCTCCAGAATCGAGCGTTTCTTATCGACAGAGCTGCTGAGCTCGAGAACATCGTCCTTGTTCGTTCGGCTGGTTTGGGAAGTGGGAGTTAAGGAGCCGGATTTGGACCAAGCGTCGATGAGGCTTTGCTTCTTTGGCTTCTCAGTTTTGGGGGCTGGCTGGATTTGGATGATTTCCACATCATCGTCTTCGCCAAGGGCTTTGAGAAGTTCCGCTCGCTGCTGATCGCTCAAGTTGGTGCTGATAGGGTACTTGCCGGTGGCCGGTGACTTGACGCAAGAATCTTGGACAAAGGCCTTCGGTTCATCAGGTATGTCGAGTTGATTCTCGCGAAGTCTTAAGAGTAGTTTGGCGACGACCTTAACGGTGACTTCTACTAGATAAAGGTCTCTCAGCCGAAGCATCCTAACAATGCCAGTAAGATGGCGCTGAGGGTCTCTCAGAAGCTGCTGCATCTTGGACAGATCTTGCGGCTGTGCCTGCACGTTGGTGGCCTGCAGTGCCGAGGCAAAAAGGCCATCCTGAGCCAGCATGCCGTCGGCCAGCTCAATGACATCTCGACAGAAGTCTTGCATTACGTTGATTTCTGCCTGGTGAGACCAAGTGGCTGTGCATTGAAAAGCAACCTCGATGTATTTCCAGTGAGCAACCCACCAACCAGTGACGGCGATCTGTTCGCTATTTTCCAACGTCTTGGATCTGAGGATTCCCGATGACAGGTCGCTGAGGCTCTTGAGTACATCTTTGGCGGTGTTGATAATATGCCGTGCTGGACCCCATGCCACACTGGATGGTTCCATGATCCTCCGTGTTGCGAAAATCATGGAAGACAGGGTGATGCTAAGGTGTCGGTCAAGCAACGCTGTGATGGCGTCCGACTTGACAGGTTGTTCGGTGATGGACTTGATGAGCTCAGCACTCGCGCTACTAATTTCGTCCTCGCCGTGTACAGTGAAAGCAATGATGGGACGAATGCTCTGGCCCACGAGACACAGCTCATTGAGTTGCGGTGATGTGAACTCGCACATGCGTTGTAGTACTCGCCCAAGTGCCTCTGCAACCTTGATGAAGTGGTTGTTGAAGCTCTTCTTCGCCGGGGTGAGGTTGTCCGGCTCCTTACGTGGACCACGAAACCTCTCGACGTTGATTAGAGGGGTCATGGCCATGAGCATTGTCTTAGCTAGCAGGAGCTTCCCGGCGAAGAGGTTTTCCAGAAACCCGTCCCACAAGTCTGCTGATCTGCGGGTGACCGCCGTCTGGATAACCGCGTTTTCGTTCTTACGGAGTTCGAGATGCTCTTCGGAGGTCGCCCTAGAATCCAGGCTCATGGCAGCGCTGATGACCCTCATGGCTGCTTTGGGCACGCCCAGGGCGTGCTGCTCTTTGCTCTTGGTATCCGCAGCATCATTGATGACATCCTTGTGCTTCAAGGTGACGTTGAGAATTGAGTTGATGTAAACAGATGTGGTACTCGAAACGGTATTGACTGACGGATCCAGAAACGACCTCAACACATGGTCTAAGGCATCTAAGCCAGCACGGATGCATGCAGCTCTGCCCTGCTCCCCGATGCTTGCATCATGAACGATTTGTTCGAAAAGCAAATGGAGCAGCTGCTCGCAGGCGTCGCTCTTTTGCTGGCGCTTGAGAGACTGGATCCACGTGTTGATCCACGAAGTCGTGATTGACTCAACCGAGTCGTTGCTGCCGCTGCCGTCGTCGTAGGGTATGGCGAACGTCAGTGATTGGGCGAGCAGTTGTTTGAAGAGCCGCTGAGAAAGGAGTTGCTCGACAACAACAAACGGCCGCGCGTCACCTATCGTGTCCCAGAAAGCCTGAGGAGACGTCTCCAAGAGGACGGTCAAAGCTTGAATGATGAGCAAAAGGATTGCTTCGGACTCGCATTGCATATGAACGAAAAGCAGATCGTAGAGGCTTGGTTTGACTTCCATACTTCGAAGACCATGCAGCAAGAGCTTGTCATCCATGGTCTTGATGATCCAGTTAACGGCTTTCCAAAACCGCTCGATTTCCGGAATGTCTGTGGGGTTCCTGGGGTTACGTTGAGCGACTGACTGAATCGCCTCCACCAGGTTATCATGAACGGCCCAGTTGAATTGCGCCTCGGTCAGCGACCTCTGTCGCAGGCGTTCCCACGACTTCTCGGCAAACTGGAGCCTTGTCTTGTCCTCCCCGAATAGGAACTGGGTCATGGCAGGGAGTAGAATGTTTTCGCCCAGCTTCAAAGGCTTCTTGCCCGAAAGGCGGACGAAAACAAACTGAAAGAGGTTCCGTTTCTCGGGCAAACTGAGGTATGCCATACAGCAGAGGGCCTCGTAGACAGTGAGAAGCACTGCGCCCTGGTCCTCACCAAGGTCAGCTCTTTGAAAGACGCGACCCTGGCCTTCGACCTTCCCGATGATGTCCTTGGCCCATTGGAGACCCTTATCAATTCGGTCAAAGTCAAATCGGTGGAGACAGTTTTCGATTCCGGCAACAGCCTCTTCTGGCCATTTCCTGCGGTCCAGTTAGCACCGATGGTGATTGCTGGCTGTATCGTTCAGAGCGGAATGAGAGCTTACTCGGAAAAGATCTGGATATACTTCTTCCGGTGCATGTGCCAGTTCAGAACGCATTTGTCGCAGTTATGGAGGTTGATGGCCATGCGCGCACCCCATTGCTCAAGCCAAACACCAGCCTTGTCCTTGCCGTACGCGAGCAGGAGACTAGTCCAGTAGGCAATGTCGAGCCGTTCCTTCCATTTTTCCACCCTCTCCTTCTTCTCAAGGGCTGTGATGCTTTCGCCGGCAGTGTTCAAGTCATCGTAATCCTCGAAGTCATCTTCGTCTACCTTGGGGCAGAGAAGGTGGAGGTCCGGAGGAATGTGGGTGAACTTGCGATAGCTCTCTTCGAGGATATCCTCGACTGGTTGTGACGACATTTTACTGCAGTGAACAAACCCGTCGAGGCATATCGTGAGAAATCAAGAGGCCACAAAGACGAAGAGTCGATTCGACGAGGCTGCGATGCGGAGGTCGAAATGCGAGGTGAGATAAGGAGCTTCGGCAATGTGGGGTTGGCAGGAAATATTCGCCGAGGACGACGGGGGCGAACACGAAAGACGGGGATCGCTAGCTGCAAGCTAAGTGCAGCTAGAAGAACGAAAGAACTGGTGCAGTCGAATGTATCTGTGTTGAGAAGACACACAGTATCGTGGAAAGAACGGGGAGAAGTCTCGTCGTGGAATCGAGTTGAGTCGATTGCCGATTCTCGTGGAGCCTAGTGTCTGTCGGTCGCTGCAGCAGGGCGACGTTTGTGAGGGTAACGAAGACAAACGAGCCTCGCCAGCCAAGGAAGCAATTAGGAAATCGAAAGGCCCTCAATCGAAAAGAAGGCGAGGTTGGCGTGGAAAGGGCGGCGTGGGAGGAGGAAAAGAAAACCCACGAAGTTTTTGGGTGTTTGGATGCTGGCAGAAAGGCAAGAGTGGGCTGCAAAAAGTGTAGTGACACGCTCCGGCTCGGCTAGGACGCGGTCAGGCGTCCAAAAATCCATTAAAGCATCCAACCGTGTCGACAGGGGTAAGTGTGCGTGTGAATGGAGCCGTCGCTCATCTGAGTGAGTCTCGAGTCTTGCAGGCTACAGAAGTACTTCTGGCGGTGCAGAGCCGGGCAATCCAGCAATCTGGTATCCGTACCTAGGACAGGTATTGCAAAGGCTTGGGCTGTCTGTGCACGGGCCATGCCTTAAATCCCACTGCAGCTTCACACGAAATCTTTGGACACGACTCTTGACTCTTGGCCAACAGAACACTCACAGCATTGATCAAAGCCAGCCCAAGATGCCAAACACAAAATTGACAAAGTCAAAGACAGTCAATATATAACTCACTTCTTTCTGTAGACTGCTAGCATTAATCCCTTTTTACTCTATGGCGGTTTTGAAGCAAGTCGTCTACAAACATACGCTGCCGCAACCATGAACAACTCTAGCAATACCTGCACCCACAGAAAAGCCCCAAAATAACTAACACCCTCAGCTCTTCAGTCAAATGCCAGAAAAGGCAAAGAGCGCGCCCTGTTCCCCGAATGGAGCCCGAATAGGTGGGGGGGGGTTTTTTTTTAATAAAAAAACCCCCATACACATAGCACAATGTCAGGTTATCTGTCTTGGCTAGACCTTCATGCTGGCTGACCTTGTCGCAAAGATGTTGTGTATACCTTGTGTCCGCAATGTTGGGTGATGGTAAGGTAACTACCGTTGTATGTCCACTCTGATGTCTTTCTGAAGCCCTGCACCTCAATTCCATTTGTCCACAACCTTTGAGCATTGTCTCGTGCTGCTGAGAGAAGTTCAGAATCTGCTTGGCCTGCTGTAGAGTTGATGAGGGGCACCTTGACACAGCGACAGCCACTCTCCTCTTCAATGTTAGTTATTGACAGAGATGTCTCTTATTTGACAGCAGCATCAATCAGACTGGACAAGGCCCTCACGAGTCTCATGCGCGTTGGAACCATTATTCTCAATGCCGACAACATTTGCTGCCTTTGACTTACTCTCCTTTTTGCTGTAGCGATCCAGTAAATGCTCAAGTGGACAAACTACCTTGTCCCACTCTGTAGTTCCCTTTGAAGTGTTGCCTTTGCAACGATGACATCCACTACCGTGCTCAATGAACAGCTGATGGAGGCCGTACTTGAGATGGCCCGGAACTCGTAGGTCGCAATGCATGTAGACGTAATTCTCATTTTCTGTGCCAGGAACCCAGTACAGCCACTTGCACATGCGGTAAACGTGGGTGTCCACCGCAAAGCTGGGAATCTGCAGGCAGAAGAGAAGAAGGCAAGCTGCCGTCTTGACCCCAATATGGGGGTATTTGATGAGTGCCATCATGGCGTCGTCTGCTGGCATGGCGCGAATGTGGTCTAGAGTGAGGATTCCAGCTTCAATCTTTTTTAGTTGGTGCTCCTTTTGGCCCGCGGTCATTTCAGCTGCGCCTGGCACATTGGCAACCTTTCCTGTCTCCTTTTCATTCATATACGCAGATCTTCTGACTTGATTCTCCGTGTAAACCATGTCGAGGCATCCTTTTATGCCTTCGTATTTCTTGTTTTGCAGCCCACCCTTGTGGAGGGTCTGTATGACATATTCAGGGGGTGCCAGGCGTACTGCATTCCAGTTGATGCTGGCAGCGCCGATTCCTTGAGGGTCAAGTTGGCCGAATCTCGCGATGATTCTTTCCACGACCATGTTGGCACTGTCCCGCGTTACTGATTGACTTATGAGGGTTCTCATCATGGCGTCCACCAAATCAGGTACCTCTCCACATCCAGCAACGGTAGTAGAAGGTGGTTGGATCTTTGCCGGAGGGGTGAAGCTGAGTGGCGCATATTTCTTGGGCTGCGTGGCTGTTTCCTCTCTGGCTTTCTGTTTTTCTTCATATTCCTCTACCAAAATGTCATAAACGGCTTGGCATTCCTCTGGAGTGGGCCTGGACCAGTCAGGGAATGGAGTTGATCCGGGCATCAAGCGGTACTTGTTGTCGGGTGTTTCCTTGGGCAAGCCCCGGGGCCTTGCTGCCTTCTTGAGCTCCTCTAGTGTCATCTTCTTTATGCCTGCGGCGGTGGTATTGAAGCTGGAAGAAAGCTTGCGGTCATCATCATTGAGGGTTGCTGACTGTTGAACGGCTCCAAGACCGTGAGGGAGAACTATAGTATTCGGCTGTGCTGGCGAAACAGAGTAACGGGACTGCTTCTGTGCGTGCTTAGTACGATATGTCTTTTCTTGAGTCTGGTTGATGTTTGCAGGCCTCTTATTTCCTGGTTCCGTTGAGTCATCAGATAGGAGGGCTGCTCCTGCAGCCCGCTTTGCGGCGCTACGGGTTTGAGGCATTGTTTCACGGAGTGCGTAAAGCTGCCAGGGAGCAGTTAGCCAGTGCCATCTGTAAGATGTTAGGTTTCGGCTCACAGATGAATGCTCCAGATCAAGAATTCCAAGTGGTGGGAAGAAGAGAACTTTTCTGGTCCTCTGTTTGGCTGTATAGCGGCATTGCTAGCCTCCTTTCGAGTGCTTTGCGAGATTGTTTCCGTTCTGAGAGAAGCAAATGCTGTCAGGTTAACTGTTATTCTCTTATCAGAGCTATGTGTTTACTGTCCCCTGCCTTTTTCGCAGTACTCGGGTCCCTTCTAGAAACCAGTAAGGGGCTGTGGCCGGCTTGATTATTTGACTTGCACCGAACACCTGGGGTCTGGTTGCTGATCTCGTATCGAAAGTCGGCGACAAATGGTTTTTGAACAAGGAAAAGAGATCGTTATACCCCTAAAGGAATGGAAGAGCTGAGCTGTTAATGTTCTGTTGTTCTAAACTGCAGTCGCTTTGACACAGGCCTGGGGGCGTTAATCACGGTTATGGGGAAAGCGAATGAAAGGGAAGGGAAGGACAACAATTGGTAAGTTCTCGGTACCTAGGTCGGCAGGTAGATATTTGAGTTTCTGTCAAAGTAAAAACGCAGTGGGCATGTCCAGGCCAGAATAATCAGATAGCATGGAAGGCACCTAGGAAACAAGGAGGTCAGCTGGGAAGGAGGGCCTGGGGCCACACATGCCGATCCTGCTTGTCACCAGCCGCCATGTATTGAATCGCCGGTAGCAAGATTCAGCATGGCACTCAAGTGCGTGTTGTTCTAGCGGAAACTTGCGAATCTTCAGGGTGCCGTATTTGAGAGTCTTTGACTACCCCTTGAATTGTCCAGCAGAGTAAGGCAAAGTTATGTGATGTCTGGGAATGTTGTTCTGGGTGTGAGGCTCTCTTTCACCTAGCATTTATGCTACATTTCCTTGTGTACTCATTCATCTTTGACCTGCTTATTGTTCACAATCACATGCAGGGTTTATTTTCAAATATCGAATTTATGAAATGGTAAAAGCAACGAGACAAATATTATCTTTACTGTTGTCAAAGTGTTGCTGCTTGGTCCGGGCAGTGTGCTTTGCACCTTTTGCTTGTCTCATTATCACCATGATGGACTCAAGACATTGCCACAAGTTGTTCTGTATTCTTGGTGGGATTTTACAAAATACGGTGACTGACCACGCAGCCTTGATAGCGCGAGAAATTGCCTAGTCATACTGTGCACCTTCCGATAACAGGTTGAAGCCTGAAGACACCACCGGAAGGAATGGGTGTTGCTCTTTCCCTTTTCCATCAACTCAATTGACTTCACTTCGTCCACAACCGCCTCTGAATAGGTAGGTTGTCAACTTCATCCCTCTTTCTTACTTCATATGAGATTCCCCCACTTACCTTCCCTGCCCAGCCACAACTCTCACTTTCAATCGAAACCTGAATTACATTCTTCCCTCATCAACTTGAGGTTTCAGCAAACAAGTTGGGTGGAAGAGGTGACTGAGAGCTTTTCTCTCATACGAACTCCTCAGACTCAATCATCTGTACTCTCCGGGCAGCCGAGTGAGTAACGCATCAACTGCCATCATCTTTTCTTCTCTAACTCTATAGGTCGGATTGATTTTCCAGTAATGGCAACCTTGAAACCTTCGGGGGAGAGTCCTCAATATGCCATTGACCTTGATTCTGAAGAACCCGCCTACTCAGTAGGAGAACAGCGTGTCATTGACATCGAGCGTCAGATCCATGCGTACCGGCTTCAGCCCAGAAACAACTCACTCTACACTGATATCAGCGGCTTCGATGAGCAAACGGAGGAAGAAATTGCCAGCGAGGAGCTTGCCAACTTCATCGACCTTACTGTAGACGACGATCCAGTCGTTACGGTTCGATCCCAAAGGCGCCACCGTGACCCTGCCCCGCGAGCTCCTCAGCGCAAGCATGAGAAGGTCAAGATTGCAGGAGGCCTCTCGATTAAGCTCAATACGCTTTACGAGCTTAGCCCTGAGCATACACAAAAGTCGGCCATTGAACACCACTTCATTCTGGTTACCGGAATATATGAGAATCTCTGGACACACGAGTATGTAGTCCAAGGCTTGCCGTTCACCAGGTCCCGGACATTGATGGCAAAACTTCCCCGAAAGCTCAACGAGATTTTTGCAATCTATGAGTTGGAGGAGGGGGATGACCGCACACCAGAGGATCAAGCATCCATCGAAGTCACAGTCTCTGCGCTTCTCAGACCCCGGTCCCTACACCTGACCAACGCGCCTTTCCCTCAACATCGGTATGATCCAAAGATTTTTGGGCATCGCGCTGCAGTCGAACAAGAGGGCCCTCTGGTCTGCCGCTGGAAGTTTCACATACATTATCGCGACTTCAGCAAGAAGAGGGATCGCAAGGCAAACCACTGGTCTCTTGAGCGTATCAGAGCTCATGAGGTCATACGGGACGAGTTCAGAGTCCCTGAGGAGGTTCTCAGAGAGGACTGGAGAGGCCAGACGATTCCAGGTGGCTCCAAAACGCCCGAGACTGGAGGATTTGCTTCCAGCCTCACTGCATCCAAACAACAATACACCGTCTTCGACTCGTTCTGTGGTGCCGGTGGATTTTCTCGCGGAGCAGAGCGCGCTGGGCTGCATGTTAAATATGCCGTCGATAACTGCAAGAAAGCTTGCGCAACCTATCGCCTCAACTTTCCGAACACTAATCTCTTTGAAAAGTCTGTCGATGAGCTTATGCTGTCTCCGAAAGATAACCAGTTGCGTACCGATATCCTGCATCTGTCACCTCCCTGTCAGACATGGTCTCCAGCGCACACCGTTCCAGGTGCCAACGACGAGGCGAACATTGCCGCTTTGTTCGCCTGCCGAAGTCTTGTTGAGAAAGTACGTCCTCGCATCTTCACCTTGGAACAGACCTTCGGCATCATGCAGCCCTGTTTCGATCCTTTCTTCTGCTCTCTCGTAGGAGGGTTCACTGAGTTTGGGTACTCGGTCACCTGGAAGATTGTTCATCTTCAAAACTGGGGCCTGCCTCAAACCCGGAAAAGACTAATCATGATTGGAGCATGCCCTGGTGAGAAATTACCCCCTTTCCCTTCGACTACTCATTCGGAGACTGGTGGAAGGGGCTTGTCGAAGTATGTTACGATCCGCCAGGCACTGGCCAAGATCAATGTCACGTCCACCTTTCACAACCCGGAAGAGGAGGTCAAGGACACACTCCCACTCGGGTCCGTCATCAGCGACCCCGACCAAATTCTCCGCAGATGCGTGACCTGTTCAGGCGGGCAAAATATGCACTGGTCTAACACAAGATCATACACGGTCCGCGAATTCGCCAGCCTCCAGGGGTTCCCCGTCTGGCACCAGTTTGCCGATGCACCGAAGTCGGCCTTGAAAAAGCAGATTGGCAACGCATTTCCAGCTTGCGTCGTGAGACTTTTGTGCGAGCACCTAAAGAACTGGCTGCTCGTGGAGGACGGTCTTGCCCCGGCGCGAGAGCTGCGAGGCAGCGTTGGTGGCCGAGAGTTGGTCTTTGTATCGGAAGGTCCATGCCGTGAGACACCTCCGCTCGCGTCGATGCCAGTCGTTAGGGACTTGGGAGGTTCTCATGAAGACGCTATCATGCTGGAGGACGACGATGATGAGATGCAGGTCGATATCAAGTATGACGAGGTTTTTGATGTCGACATGACAGACGTGCCCGACGCCCCTAACACTCCCGGTACTTTTGACGCACCGAACACGCCAAACACCCCGGACACGCCCTACACACCTCGCTCGCGGTCACGCTCAAGAACCTTATCATTCGGGGCTACATCCAGCCCTGTGCCAGCTGTTGGCAGCAAAGACTCGCCTATCGTGTTTGACTAAAGAGGCATTCGGACATGCGATTCTTGAAATGGATGCTGACGGAACCATGGATTATGAAATAAAATTTGCTCGCTTGGTTTTGTTGATACGACCGGATGATGGCTCTCGGAGGCGGTATGAAAAGCGATGGTCTGAGAGGTGGATACGTGGGTACATTGTGTTCTCTCATGCAGCTCGGGGAAGAGGATATCTTCTTGTAACAGGAACGATACCATTAGTTTTCTATTGTCTAGAATCATTCCACCTGTACCAGCTCTTGACCCGTCCGCCAACGTCTCCTTCAAACTTCTGACATCATGCCGTTCTCAATACACTCTGGTCGATCCACGAGACGAAACCAAACTCGCCCTCAGCCGTCTGGAACACGTCGGTGGGGTTTCTGTAGGGCTTCACGGCCGCATCATCAAGCACCTTGGTGACGTTGCTTGCCACCATCTGCTCAGGCGTCCAGCCCGGGCCGCGGTCGTTGAAGACGGCCATGAAGGTGTAGTTGTTGATGCGCGGTTCTGTCGTGAGCCAGGGAATGTAGCCCTGCGGCTTGATGCTCGCGTCAAAGTAGGTCTCCATGAAGATGGAGCGGTGCTGGGCATTCCAGGGCCGACCGAGGGGGCAGTCGCCGCGGATCGTCTGGGCGATGGAGGCGTTTGCAGCGATGGCCTGCGAGTCGGAGATGTAAACGCCATACTTATTCTCAAAGGTTGTGTTTGTGCCTGGGAGAAGGTGTCAGTCAAGGTCCGGGGCCTCGAGCGCACGGGAACGGGGGAGCGAAAGAAGCTTACCCTTCCAGGCAGTGATGCCGCCTCCGCAGTTGCGCAGCGAGAGTGTCGACTTCTCAATGTACGCCGTGCCAAAACCGTACAGGAAGTCCACCTGACCCGCAATCACGTTGTCGAAGAAGTAGGCGTTGCCCAGCTTGCCGACATACAGGGTGTCCTGGTAGCTGTACAAGCCGCAGGAGTAGAAGCCGGCGTTGGCCCTGCTGACGCCGACGGCATGCGCAGGCCCGTTGGCGAAGGGGTACTCGTCGTTGCGGAAGTCGATATTGTACGCCCGGAAGTCGACGCAGCCGAAGGGCGTATCCTCTGGGACGGGGAAGCCGGTGGGCCCGGTGCCGGTAAGGGTGGCGTTGAGGTTAGGGCCGACGGTCAGCACGCTCGTGTAGACGTTGTCCGGGAACGCGACGTCGTGGTTCGCGGCGTTCCACCACACCTGGACGTCGTTGGCATTGGAGTCGGTAGTGTTGAGCGTCACGTCCGCGTAGAGGTCGCCCGAGGCGGGGCGGTCCGACATGCCCAGCAGGGTCAAGGGTCCAAAGCGGGTGACATTGAGCTGCTCCGTGTAGCTCCCGGGGGCGATGAGGATGGTATAGGGGGTTGTGTTGTTGGGCAGAGAGGCGATGGCGGCCTGGATGGAGGTGAAGTCTGCGCGGGTCGAGTTCTTGCTGACGAAGAGGGTGTTTGGGGGGCAGCCTGCGAGAGGGTTTGACGTCTTCTTCTGGCATGCGGCGTATGTCTTTGCCGGGTCCAAGGCAGCGATGAGGGAGGCCCAAGAGATGAGGGCCCCCGAAAGCAGGATGAGGGAAACCGAAGTCTTCATTATGACACAGCTTCGCGCGGACCAGATACTAAAAGACGAGTGCTGCCGGGCCGGACTGGAGGAGGGTTGAGGAGCATCCAGATCCAACTCTGGACCCGGAGAACTGGTTGTTGATATATACCACGTAGCTTCCCGCTGTCCATTGCTACCCAGAGCACCCGATTTTCCCTGGTGGATTACCCGGGGAAGACCTCATCCCCAGCTTCCTGGGATATCTTTTCCGGCACCCCCCTGCCCCAGAAGAGGTCGCTTGCAGGACCGGCGCGTGGATGAGGGTGGCGGCGAACAGTTGCAGTAGAAGCGCCGGCGCGAGCGGCATTGATGCCAGAAAAAAGGACTCGCAGGTCAACGCGGGGTAAGGGGACGGAGATGTTACCCCAGAAGCCCTTCGTCCTCGGCACAGGATCGTGACGGCCCATGGGGAAGGGTGTGGATATGCCGTGTCATGCTGTGAGTCTAGACGCAAGATATGCGTGCCTAGGGGCACTCGACGGCATGGAGAAAACAGGGGTAGAGCGGAAGATAAGGAGGTCGGACCAAACTTTGGGGCTCTGCGGATGGAAGAACTCGAGACGAAGGTTTCCACGAACCACAGCGCGAGCCGAGAAAGGTCCCTGGAGCCGGCCTACCGATCATCCTGATGCTTGTCGATGGAGAGACCAGCCCCCTGTACACTGGGTAATTAGCACTACCGTAGGCGAAACTATGATTGATGACCGTTCGGCGTTGATCGTCCACTCCAATTAAAAACCCGCTCAGAACTTTTTGTCCGCCCACCCATCATATGGACCGGAAACCCGCATCCTAGTGTCATATTTCACGTACAGCGACCCGAATCCCTTCCTTCGGTGGCATTGGTGGTGGATACCTACCAGAATGATGCATCTTAAGTCCCCCCGAGACGAACCATAGCATGACTACCCCATGATATAAGTCCTGCTCCTCCTAGGGTAGCAATCACCGCCAGTCTCGAGGAAGAGTATTGCAGCACAGCATCGCTCGGCAGACACTTGACGCAGAAACCCGTACCGTAGCCAGCCACCACCACATTCGTTTACGGCCTAGGTGGTCTGCTACGTACCGTCCTCATGGTCGCACCAACTCTCTTCAGTGGTCTCCTGGCCGCCGCCCTGGTTCCCCTTACCCACGCCGCCGGGTCCTCATCCGCCGCCCCCTTGCGCCCGGACATCAAGCCCGCGCCCTTCCATCCGGGTCCCGCCTTCCCCACCTCGGCCCCGAGGACTAAGACGTGCATCGTGGAGGCCGGCGCCGCCGGCACCGATGACGCCCCCGCCATCCTCAAGGCCTTCACGGACTGCAACCACGGCGGCACCGTGGTCCTCGACTCGACCTACAACATCTGCTCGCCCCTGGACTTGACTTTCTTGCAATCCGTTGACGCCGCCATCACTGGCACTGTCAACTTTTGCGATGACATTGACTATTGGCTGCCACGGACCTTCAAGTACACATTCCAGCTGTCCTCGTCCATGTGGAAGATTGGTGGCACGGATGTGAACATCTATGGCAACGGTGCCGGTACGCTCAACGGAAACGGCCAGAAGTGGTACGACCGATTCGCCTCCAACGCCACCCTCCAGAGACCCATCTTGCTTGTCACCGATGGCCTTCACGGCGGCTCCATTACCGGCCTGAACATGGTCAACTCGCCTCAGGTATGGTCCAGAAACACCGAGACTCCGGACCTCCCTTCCCCCAAATTATGAGTCTCACTAAGCTCCGCGCAGTGGTTTAACCTCATCGCCAACAGCAGCAATGTGCTCATCTCCGACATCACCATCAAGGTCGGCTCGATCTCCAAGAACCCGGCCAAGAACACGGACGGTTGGGACACGTACCGCTCCGACTCGGTCGTCATCCAGAACTCGCACATCGACAACGGCGACGACTGCGTCTCCTTTAAACCCAACTCGACAAACATTGTCGTCCAGAACCTCGTCTGCAACGGATCCCACGGCATCTCGGTCGGCTCCCTCGGCCAGTACGTCGGCACATTCGACGTCGTCGAGAATCTCTACGTCTACAACACTACCATGTCCAACGCCTCCGACGCCGCCCGCATTAAGGTCTGGCCCGGCATCGACACACCCTTCCAGCCCTCGCTTTCCGGTGGCGGCGGCTCCGGATACGTCAGGAACGTGACATACGACGGCTTCCACCACTCCAACAACGACAACGTCATCACAATCGACCAGTGCTACGGCCAGAAGAACCAGACTCTCTGCAACCAGTATCCTGTAGGGACTCTCGATCCACCGTGAAAACAATGTTAACATACAAGTTTGCTGACACTTTTTAGTCCAACTTGACCATCAGTGACATCTACTTCAAGAACTTTGACGGCACGACCTCCTCCAAGTACAGCCCCCGTGCGGGCACTCTCGTCTGCAGCAGCCCAGCGGTAAGACCCTCTTGTCCCTCGGATCTGCAAAAAGAACAAGTCACTGATGCTGTAGCAGAAATGCCTTAATATCAACGCATCAAAGATTGCCGTCAAGACCCCGACTGGCGCGAACCCACAGTGGTTGTGCGTTAACCTGGACACCGGTCTTCTTGACATCAACTGCGTGACCAAGGTGGCCAAGAGATTGGTCGGGATGTAAACTTGATATTCATTCTTTATGTTGATCGTCATGTTTCAGACGTTGAACTCATTAGTCTGCTCCGGTCCCTAGGCCGTGTTCTCTTCAAAAAAGGAACGCTGTGCACATGTTCTGAAATTGATTATATTCAATGTCATTGCGATCGTTCCGCTTCTCTTTTGTGCAGTTGAACAATACACTCAACCTCTAGTGGTTCGCTCTAACAAACTCTCCATTACATGAAAGCCTACCATCCGCTCAACCCGATTCAGCGCTGGCAGAAGGCTTGTCCAACCTCCACACAGCCATATCTCTCTTCTCGGGAAACCGCCACACTTTGACACTCTCCTTGGCGACGGTAACAAGCTTCCCGCCGCACTTCTCTGCCACTCGTATGCTGCCCAGGTTGTCCGGGTCCACCTGGGCGACGAGATGCGTGATCTCAACCTCGTCAGCGTCCCCGCCGAACCCCACAACCCTCGTCATCGTGTTTCCGTCTCGCGTCGATGTCTCATCCCTCGACAGGCCAGACCTGGCTTCATGGTTATCCAGGGCCTGCTGAACGAGCGTCTCTCCCCTCGGCGCTCGGCGCGGCTGGCTCCAATAGATGTCCAGAAACGCACATACGGCACGCGTGGCATACCCCCTGCCCCAGCAGTCCGACCTTAGCTTGTAGCCGATCATCAAACCCCACGGCGACGCCCGAGTCGTCCTGACCACACCGATCATTTTCGACGTTGCCGTCGCCGGCGTGGCGTCGTGGGCGCCCTGGGGCGGGTGGTTTGACGACATGATGGCACAGCTGACGAGCCACGGTTTCCCTATATCCTTCGCGAAGGCTTGGGTTAGCCGAACCGCTGTTGCTTCGAGGGTGGCTGTGGAGCGCTGGGAGCTGCGACGGGATGTGAGTCATGGATGGCGGATAGTGGGTGGAGAGTAGGGGCCCTCACCTCCAAAAAGCAGCTTGCTCGTCTGAGCAAAGTTCGTGAAAGTCCTGGAGATGTTTTTCATCGAGGGGCTCTAGCCAGAAGTCTGGCTTGGAGGATTGCGATTGCATGGTGGAATTGGAGCAAGACCATGAGAAGTAAGCACGCGGGGGAAAGCCTTGCATGCGGCATGAGAGAACGAGATATCAAGCCGTTCCACAGGTCGAACAACACTTACGAGGTGCCGGCTATAGCAGGTGTAATCTAGACCTTTAATGGAAGACTCATCGATCCAGTGAGTCACTTTGAAGGGCCGGCCAGGGAAGTACTAAGTTCTGCCGAAGGATTCAGACCGTACATAAGGTAGCTGAAGTTACAGAGTCGCCGAATCCTCAAGACAGCTGACATTCAAGCGCGAGAAGTGAACGCGGTTAAATATATCTGTAGTTGATCCTTTTCCAAGTTAGGGTCACTAGAGTGCAACTTAGATCTTGCAGATACACGACGTGCCTCGCTTCGTTTGCATTGATAATCCCAGACCTTACGCCGATTCTGAAGTCATGTAACAAGCCAATGATCCGCAGATGCGCGTACTCCAGACGGCCTTAGAACTCAAAACTCAGCTGTTAGGGCAGGGGAGTTGTCTGTCACATCCCCGCTTCTTGCCTTTGCATGCAGACCATGCAAATGTTGTCAGCGCGCTCCGAGGCCGAGACGCATATACATAGGGCCTGAGCAAGAGTGACAGTGCTGACTAAGCCGACAGGGGCCACCCTGAGACCCCAGTTTCGATGCACGAAAAGTTGGAGAGTCACCACGCGACGAAGCCCTCTGAAGACAACTATTTCATACCCTCGGATACGCACCATGACCCGCGATGTCGGCAGCAGGTCCTGATTCAAAACCCTTGAAGTCCGCCTTTGCGAATAAACGAAAACAGGGCCCCTCCGGCGACAATGGCTCACGGCCGAGCAACGGCCGCGATGGAGGAAACGGCGGCGGCGGAGGCTGGGCGCAGAAGCGAGTCAAGATCCGCAACGACAGAGAAATAGCGGCACAGCCCTCCGACGCGGCCCTCAAGGACGGCGAGCTCGACCTCCAGGCGTTCCTAAACGCGCGCGAATTCGAGATCAGGGCCCTCGAGGAGAGCATGCGGCACACTAAGGCCGAGGCCACGAGCCGCGCCTTCCAGCAGGTACCCCGCGGCATGCGCCGGCGCACGGCGAGCCACAACGCGAAGAGGGTGCCCAAGCGGCTGCGCAGGCGCGCGCTCAAGGAGATGGTCGAGGACAATACGCCCGTGGTGGTGTCGAAGAAGCGCAAGCCCAAGACGACGAGGGCGCGGATCCGCGCCGAGACGGCCAAGAGGTTGGGCATCCTCGCGGAGAAGAAGCGGAGGAGGCAGATGAAGGCTGCCAAGTCCAAGGCCAAGGACGGCGAGGCGCAAGAGGAGGTTCCGGACAAGAGCAAAATCACAGTCTCGACCCGGCCGCCGAGACCCAAAATCCGGCGGAACCAGCTCAACGACCCTCCACAGCGCAAGTCCAAATTCAGGAAGCGCCAGATCAACAAAACATGGCTACCGACGCACCTATGGCACGCAAAGAGAGCGCGAATGACCGAGCCCAAGAACCCTCTGTGGCGGTTCGCGCTACCCCTGACGCCCAACGAGAAGACGTACCGAGCGACGCATCGATCCCAGGGCGAGAAGGGTGTCGTTGTTTGGGATACGAGCTATATGAGCACGATCGGGCTCTACGGCGGGGCCAAGGGCGTGGAGCAAGCTCTGCGCAGGCTTGGTGTTACACAGGAAGGGTGTTGGAACGACAGGGGAGTCAATTGGAGAGCAGGTACACGACACTGGACTGGGTTCCTGAGCAAAGAGGTCAAGGGTGTGAAGCGAGACGTCTGTCCAGCGACGATTGTTTGGAACCCGGAGACGGTCGCGGAGCAAGCCGGGGATGAAGAGGGAATGCAGACGAGCAAGAGCCAAAGGCAGGTCTATATCAGGGTGCACCCTTCCGCATTTCTCGAAATCTTCAACGACCTCCTCCGGCTGGTTAAAATGCAGAACCCCAGACCCTATATAGAGGATCTGCGGTTTGAGGTCGGCAGTATTGAGCTTACCGGCCCTGCATCAACAGAGGCTCTCCTGGGAATCCTTCACCCCTACCACGTCAAAGAAGGATCCAGGGAACAGCATGCGGAGATCTTCGGGGGTCTGACCAGTGTTACGAGCCCCGCAACGCTTCCCCGGAACGCCGTCCTGGGATTTTCCATTATGGACCCGCGTCTTCGATACCCCCCAAGAAAAGTCAGTCAACCGAATCCGGATGACGAAGCAGAGCAAAACAGGTCGATGGAGCTGCTGGCGAACTGGCCGGCGGCCGTAGGCCTGAAGCCATATGGCCTCTTCCAACGAGATGCCCACGCTTCAGCGACCCGATTACCGTCGCAAAAGTCGATTGACAAACGGAAGGGAGCTCGGCGCCCGGGAACGGCCCTCGACGTCTCCGACGCGGACCCACCGATCCCCGTCCTCCTGCTCGCATCACGCTCGAACGCTACGCAGGCCCAGGGCAACTGGACGGTCCTCGTCCCGTGGCGATGCGTCCAGCCGCTGTGGCACAGCCTCGTCCATTTCCCCCTGAGTTCGGGTGGTAATCCACGCTTCTCAGGCCTCGACGAGATGAGGCAGGTTGCGTTCGAGCGCAACCTGCCGTGCTTCCCCTTCGACTTTCTTGGCACAGACGCCGGCGCCGAATGGGAGCTGGAGCAGCGGACTAAGCGGAAGCAGGAGTGGGAACGCCGGCCGAAGAGCAAGCGGGTGGCGTGGGAGTCTTTGGACTTGGGCGCCGGTCGCAAGGGAGAGGTGGGCAGCGGATGGGCGTGCGATATGGAGGTCTTATTCCAGCACAAGACGGACGAGGGTCGGGCTTCACCGCGCCCAGATGCAATGGACGTGGATAAGCCCTCGCCGGAGAAGGAGAATGCTTCGGATCCCACGTCGACACCAGAAAACTTCCTCAAGACGCTCCATCAAGTCCGAAAGGACGCATTCCACGCGCACACTTCCGCGCCAGCATCTAACCCCTTACCGCCCCGCTCCGTGATCAACGTCAAAATCGCCATCCTCAACCGCGGCGTTGCGACAGCCTGCGCGAGGATCTACCGCCTCCCGTCACGTCCCGCTCCCGCCCATCCGGCCTCCTTGGTCGAAATCCCCGCAACGGCCCCGCCACCTCCCAAGACCATCGATGGTTTGCCCGCCAACCTTCGCGAGCAGTGGCTTGCGACATTGCCTAGCCGGCCGCTGTGCGGGAACAGCGGCAAGTCGAAGCAGCAGATGCGCCTGCCGGCGAACGCCGACCTGCAGACCCGCAAGCAGATGCTGGCCAAGACGCTTATCGCGGCGCCCGTTGAGGCATATCCGTCCCCGAAGCCGAACCAGACGGACATGAACGGCCACCCGCTCGTGCCGGACGAGGCAGACCTGATCGGGTTCGTCACGACGGGGGCGTACTCCCTAGGCGAGGGACGGGCGACTGCCATGGGGTGTCTTTCCGCCGAAAGGGCTGCGCAAGCGATGGAGGTCGGCGGGCCGAGAAGGGAGGGCACGCTGTGTATTGTGCGCAATGCTGGGGAGAGCGTCGGATGGATTGCGCGTTGGGAGGCTGTCTAAAGCTCTTTGGCCGCTGCCATGCCGGCGACAACTTATGACCAGACGCTGAGGGTGGATAGCGGGGTGTAGAAATCGTGTGTTATGGCGGGTGGCGTACCCGCAACTCGCATGCTCGGAGGCATGGCATGCTCGCCCAGCTGCAGCGCGACCAGCGTCTTCCACTGCAGCCCGCGGGGCCGCGTGACGTGCCGGACGTTCAACTAGCTGCGCGATGCGACCAGGGAGGCTCTCGCATTTGCTTGCTCGCTCCCGCACACTTGGCGTCAACGCTAATCGCAGCGGGCTGAATGGGAGACGTCGTCGCAAAAGCGCCGCCGATCAACGAGGGCCGCAAGCACCAGAGGGCGGCGCCGGCGGACGGGAGGAGGATCAGAAATGGAGGGGTGGAGGGCATAAGATACCCAATTAGACTACCAAAAGCAACTCGTACTCCTAACCCGCCTGATTGCTTGCCCCTTTTCTCGTCCATCATCTAAATACCATCTATATGAGTTGGGCTGTGACACATTTGCCCTCTATTGATACCTAGACCGTAACGCCTGCATCATGGCGCCCGAGCCCCTCCCGACGCCGGCCTCCATCATAGGCGGCCGCCTCCGCGTCGATTTCCCACCATCCCACGACTTCGCAGCAGCCGCAGCCCTTTCCTCCGACCAACGCAACAGCGGTGCCGCCGCACTAAGGGCTCCCTATTCCTGTTCCTCCACAGCGTCGCAACGTCCGCCCTTTTATTCCTCACCGGCAACGAGACCGGGCGAGGGGTTCGAGGAGGGCCCCAGTCGGCGCTAGGAGGCACGTATGGTGCACTGACGAAGTCGCGGGTGTCACGGACGGGATGCTGCGGGGAAGAAGCTGACGAGGGGCACGCGGCACGGCGTCGTCTTGTCCAAGGACGGAGAGGGGGTTTGATGGGAAAAGCCGTCATAGTGGACAACTGTCGGTCGGACATGTGTATATAGCAAACGAATCGCGTCTGAACTGCAAGGTATCCTGCCTGGTATACCGCTGTACCTATTCAACCGGGCTCATGGAGGGCAGCCACCCCGAGCGCGTGTGAAACCCAACAAAATGTACATCCAAACTCCTTTTGATCCTGGTAGTAACGCCGTCATTATGTCCCTGTCAGACAGCATCCCACTTTAACGGGTGCTGAGTCTTCGGTTCCAAATTCACGATAATCTCCGACTTTCGCCTTTCATAATGTCCAACACAAAGGTCTTTGCTTAGTCTTCCTCGCTCACCTCACTCTCCTCGGCGTCGCCGCTGTTTGCAGCCTCTAGCTCCTTCTCGAGTTCCGCCTCCAGGTCGTCTTCCAAGGCATCCTCAAAATCGGGCTCGGAATCAACCTCCATCTGCTCGGCATCGTCGTCCTGATCTTGGTATTGATCGTTGTGGAAATGGTGATGTTGCTGGTGCTCCTGCTGCTGCGCCTGGCCGTTCATCGGGCTCGGCAGATTGAAGTTTGCGAGATCGCGCTCCTCCAAGTCCGACTCGCCATCTGCGTCGTCGGCCTCAGAGTCACGCAAGAAGTCAGAGAAGCTGCGGACCTGGATGTTGGGCGCGAAAGCGGGCGAGAAGTCGGCCTTTTTATTCTTGTGTTCGTCAGGGTACTCTATCGTCAGTCCGAAATCGTCGTCGTCGTCATCTTCCTCGTCGTCGGAGCCGGCTGCCTTGCGTGTCGTCTCCTTCTTCTTGGCCGGCGCGGTGGGCTTCGCGGGCACGGGCGGTGCGTCGTTGGTTGGGAGGGCGAGGTGGATGGGCTCGCTCTTCTTAGCTGCCGCGGGCTTGCGCGGCTTGGCGGCGGCCTTGTTGCTGCTGGCCGAAGGCCTCTTTGGTCCCGACGAAGCCTTTGCGGCAGGTTTTGTGGAGGGTTTGTCTTTGCTGTCGGCGGCGGCGGTGGGTTTGCGGACCTCGGGTGTGGCGGTTATGGAGGTATCGAGCTGCTCGAACTGCTGGCGCAGGGACTCGGGGTTGTCATTGGACGGGGTACGAGTGACGTTCATATGGAAAGTCGAGTCGACCTTGTCCAGGATGAAGACCTTGCGGGCTGGGTCGAAGTAAAGGACGTACTGGTTGTCGTCCATGGTCCGGGTGCCTGCGTAGCCGTACATGCCATTGTTGCCGTCAGGAAACGAGAGGTCGAAGTCGGACTTGCTGCCGGGAGTCTCTGGCTTTAACCTGGCGGTGCCGGGTTCGGAGGTGAGCTCTGGCTTGTGGTTATCTGTGATATTTGCACAAAAGGTCAGTCTGCTGTGTCGTGGCTCGCCACAACCAAAGTGACCTGGAGAGGTAGATAGATGCCTACATCGTACGGCGGTAAAGACCTCTTTCTGGGTGCGGCCGAGGAGAGTGTCGCTCAGGATGACGGGATATTTACCCGTCTTGGTCGGGTCGATAAGGCCGTTGGCGGCACCTGACTTGGGAGCCGCCTTTTCCCTGTGATTTGGGCGAAGAGCCGACATGGTGGCGGCCGTCGCGACACGAGAAGAAGTCGAGGCCGACGTGAGGAACAGAGAGTGGAGGAAGGGGGACAGACGACTGGCCGATGATCGTTGATGCGAAGTGGAGAGAGATGACCTTGTAGGGTGGTAAGCTACAGCGTTGGATGCTGGCGGACTAGGTAGGCTGGGGATCGGCTCCCTTTGAGACGCAGGCGGCTGCGCGTGCTGTGCTGCGCTGCGCTGCGCTGTGCTACGCTGTGTCGGGCGGGAAGGGCGAGACCGCAGGTGGGTTACACTGCTTTGGATGAACGTTGGGTTGACCAGGGGTCCAGCCGTCTAGCGGGAAAGAAGAGGAGGGGCGCCAGAGTCAGGGCAGGGAGAGAAAACAGTAACGGACGGTCGGTTGATGGGGAAGGGGTTTTCCCTCTTTCTTCTCCTCCTTTATTCTTCCTTTATTCAAGAGAACTGTGACAGACGTTTTGCCCGTTGCTGGCGCTGGCGTTGATGTCGAGCGTCGAAGTTGTAGACAGCACAGGCTCTGGTGTTGAAGAAAAGATTAGAGAGAAGGGTGTCGTCGCTTAATTAGTCCATTTGTTTCCATTCACTGCACCAAAGGAGAGTTCGCTCCACAGCCACATCCAGTGACTGAGAACCAGGCCGACGCTTAGGCGCCTTATTCAGCGGCAACGAGGTTACAGAGACATACGCCTGCCACCAGGAGCATCTTGTGCATCCGCTGTGTGGCTGGATGCCACTGATCAATAACCAGTGTTTGTGAACAGGAGCCTCTGCCATCAAAATTCCGCTTAAACTTGGCCTCTAGTAGATGCAACGCGCCCCCGCATCCCCACCCGGAGGTAGCAGTACCTATATCCTGCTCTTGACCGATATGTCGTAGAACCATTCTAGACCTTGTACCTAGATGAGCGTGACTGCGCTGATGTAATTATTCATCCACGTGCCTCGTGAGCCAGAATAGACGAATTCGGGATCAACCTCCGTCTAAATGTGAGCTCGAACTGTAGTACTAAGAAGCATGTCAACGAGCGTATCGCTCGCATGTCGCTTCCGTCAGGATATTCTTCCTTCTTGTCTTTCGATTTATCTGTCTCCTTTGAAGCGGACCATATTCAATTGCTGTACAAGTAATTAGTATGAGATATCCGAGTCATGCATGGGACCACTACAAACAAAGGATACAATGGACGAGGAGGAGGGTGCCTACTATTATGCCCTGCCTCCATGGCCCCAAACTCCGCGATAAGGATCGAGCTTATCCTTATCCACTGGCCGCCGCTAGCCGAGGCGCCTTGCAGGTTTGGCTCGGCGGTACGGAAAGGGCTGGGCATGTCTGTGACATTGGTGATTCTCAGCATGGCCTTCGCATGCCCGCTTGACCTTGGCAGGTTTCCTCGTCAGAGGGACCATCGCCCTTTTCCAAGTTAAACCACCGTCGATTGATTGGATCTTCAATTGAACAGAAAGCTTTGATGCATCACCAATCCGTTCCCTCAACTCAAACGGGATGGGATACAGCAACGAGTACACTCCATAGTATCCGTACTTAGGCAGGCTCAACATCGCAGGGGGAGGGGAAATGCGCTGGATCGGGGTTGCAGCAGAACCACGGCTCTCCACATTCCTCCCCCAACCTCGCCCATGTTGATGTCAAAGCTTCCCCGCCGTCTGCCCCCAGGCCAACCAACTGCTTCTCCTCTCCCTCGTCCCCTCTCCGGGCCGCCTCTCAGTGTGCTATCGCGGCCCCCACCAGGGGTAAGCGCAGACAACCTCGGATCAAACAGCCACACAAACTTCGGCAGCCCGCGGCATTCCTAGTTCTGCCCTTCCGCCTGAGCGAGACAACCTCCAGCTTCGCTACGGGCTAAAAATTCATAATCCTGCAGGCCTGTGTTTTATTTCTTCTCTCCATCTACCCATCTTCTTCCTCATCTCGATTGAAGTGTCCGGAAACCCGAGATTGAAATTGAAAGACACGAGAGAGAGAGAGAGAGAGAGAGACCGTTGATACTTAGGGCCGTCCCCCGTTCTTTTGTGCTGCTGTCTGCTCTTGAACTACTCTTTCCCATCTTTCCTCCCAATCAATTGGCCTGCATAGTCCTCGCGGTCATGTCTGCGGCCATCAACCGAGGTCTTAGGACAGCTTCCCGTTCGTTGCGTCTCCAATCGCGAAGTGTCCGCTTGGCTACTCCTCTCCGCGCCGCAGTCGCCTCCACTACCTTTGCCGCCTCTTCTGCGACTCGCTCCGCACCTCAACAATCCCACACCTTTTCAACCGCATCTGCCAGACAGAGTGCAGCACCAGCCATGGCATCCGAGGCGAGAGAGTACGATCCCGAGATCAGGGACATCGCAAACTACGTCCAGAACTACAAAGTCGATTCCGACCTTGCTGTAGGTTTTCCTTTTCTTTTCTTCCATCTTCTCCCTTCGTCTTTCTTCCCTTGGTTGTCTAGCTCTCTCGGCTGGCAACCTGGGTGACCCGCCCACGTTTTACCCCGCGTCACGGCCAGATCGCCGCCGCTAACCGCCATTCCCATGAGAATAGTTCGACACGGCACGATGGGTTTTCCTCGACACTCTAGGCTGCGGTCTCGAGGGCCTTCGCTTCAAGGAGTGCAGCAAGCTACTGGGCCCCATTGTCCCTGGTACCGTCGTTCCCAATGGTCCCAAGGTCCCGGGTACCAACTTCCAGCTGGACCCCGTCAACGCCGCCTTCAACATCGGTGCCATGATTCGCTGGCTCGACTACAATGACTGCTGGCTCGCTGCCGAATGGGGTCACCCTTCCGACAACCTAGGCGCCATCCTCGCTGTGGCTGACTGGATCACTCGTACCAACAAGGCCGGCGGTAACATTGCCGGTGGCAAGCAGTTCACCGTCCGCGATGTCCTCGAGGGCATGATCAAGGCCCACGAGATCCAGGGCTGCCTGGCTCTCCTGAACTCGTACAACAAGGTCGGCCTGGACCACGTTGTCTTGGTCAAGGTTGCTAGCACTGCTGTTGTTTCCAAGATGCTCGGCCTTAGCGAGAAGCAAATCGCCGATGCCGTCACCCAGGCCTGGGTCGACGGCCAGAGCTTGAGAACCTACCGCCACTCCCCCAACACCATGTCCCGCAAGTCGTGGGCCGCCGGCGATGCCTGCCAGCGCGCTGTTAACCTGGCTCTGAAGGTCATGAAGGGCGAGCAGGGCATCCCCACAGTCCTCTCTGCCCCCGTATGGGGCTTTTACGATGTCCTGTTCAAGGGCAACAAGTTCGAGTTCCAGCGCCCCTACGGCAGCTACGTCATGGAGAACGTTCTCTTCAAGGTCTCCTACCCTGGTAAGGTTAATGATCAATGCTTGGAGGCCACTTGACTGACAAAACATAGCCGAGTTCCACTCCCAGACCGCAGTCGAGGCGTCGTCCAAGATCCACCAGAAGCTCAAGGAGATGGGCAAGTCGGCGGCCGACATCAAGGGTGTCACCTGCCGCACGCACGAGGCCTGCATCCGCATCATCGACAAGCAGTTCAAGCCCATGGACAACTTCGCCGACCGTGACCACTGCATCCAGTACATGGCCGCGACCATGCTTGTCTTCGGCCGCCTCGAGGCCACCGACTACGTCGACGGCAGCGAGGCCGCGACCTCGCCCCTCGTCGAGTCCCTGCGCCAGAAGATCAAGTGCGTCGAGGACCCGCAGTTCACCAAAGACTACCACGACCCCGCCCTGCGTACCATCTCCAACGCCCTGACAGTCGAGTTGAACGACGGCACCGTGCTGGAGGAGATCGTCGTCGAGGCACCTCTTGGTCACCGCCTAAGGAGAGAGGAGGCTAAACCCGAGATCTTGAAGAAGTACAAGAGACACTTGGAGCCCCACTTCGATGCCGGCAAGGTCAAGCAGCTCGTCGACCTTGGCCTGAACCCCAAGGAGCTGGAGGCAACTCCCGTCGACGAGTATGTTGACCTCTACGTCGTCAAGGACAGCAAGTTTGTCTAGGCGCTTGAAGAATGAAACAAGGAAAAGGCTGGATACTATAGATGTTGTGTCTTTACCAAATTTAGAAATGGAAATCCGACAAAATAGTATATTGGCGCTCCTCCAACGCTCCATCGTCTTGGTGTGATGAATCTCCGTGATCCGGGTGGTGTGCAACATGGCCGGTCAGTGCACCCGGGGACGGTTGCCTCTGAAAAAGACGGGCATGAGGGGTTGGCAATACGAGTATTGTCCGGTCACAGCGACACGCTATCAACTTGTCGCTGACGACTCCCTGCAGATAGGCGGCCCCCGTCCCGATTCGGACAGGTGCAACTAGAGGGGCCCGCGGGACCGCGACACCGCCTCCCGGGGTTTAATTGGGGAATGGTTGGCTCTTTCGTAAGCCTGGTGATCGCCAAGCCCCATACTCTGAGCTGGAGTCTGGGCGGGTTCGTTCAGTGGGGCTTTTGATGGGTGTTTTCTCCTGTAACGGGTGGGGGGGCACGGTTAGTTCGGTTCGCTGACTGTTTTGGGTTTCCTAGGCCAGACACTATCCGTTTTCCAATGCTACCATCAGGAACCACACAGCAGGAGGAGGATGGGTTACCTAAGCCGCACTGCCCAGTCATCTTGGTGCTCTTGGCCCTCCACCAAGGCGCCACTTTACTCCGTGTCGGTCTCCTGTTCGGACATTGACTATACTCCGTCTCTCGTCTTTGTTTGTTCCGGAAACAACGTCGCCTCCTTGAATTTCAACGCCCGATTCCCTCTTTTGCTCGACAACAGAAAGAGACCTTGAATTTCTCTTACCTAGTTTCGACGATAGCCGCCATTTCCGTGTCGTACGAGTGACTTTCGATACGCAGTCCAAACCTTAATAGTGGGGTACAGCTTTTGGCAGACAAAATGGACAGACAAACCATCATCGAGACCAACCGGTCGCTGCGCACCATCAAGAATGTGAGTTCGTTCTCGCCAGTTAGCCAACGGTACCGGGTCCGAGGCGGGTAGGCGGATCGACTTGGATCAAGC